GGGAAAATATCTGGTTACTCTACCCACCATGAGTAAATAACGCCAATTAAGATCAGGTGGATATACATAATACAGCAGTTCTTTATATGCATGAAGTTTCTGCAGAATTATTCTTTAAGAAAACTGTTTTTTCTTCTTCTCGAATTTGTTGTTTTTTAAAGTATGTTATTTGGTTATTTTTGTAGATAACTTATAGTCTGATTGCATGATTTTAAACACTAAATCAGATGTTATAATAATAATTATAAAAATAATTGAACTGTATTGATCTCATATTAGAGAAATTTACCTCTGCATTTAACCCTTGGGGAGCAGTGGGCTGCCATTGTGGGGCGCCCGGGGGAGTAGCCTACTTGTCATTTTAATAAGTACTTTTTTTTCTCTTACTTTAAATATTTCTTGGATGGCTACTTTAAACTTCTACAAGAGTAAGAAAAGGTTAAGTTAGTGCTACTACTTAAGTAAATTTTTTAGGTATTCCCCACCTCTAAATATAGGTAATTAAATAAAGCTTGTCATCAATATACCTTTAGATAGATCATTGTCATAGTTTCCTATACAGTATCTGTTATACGTACATTTAAAGGAAATAATAAATCCTGACAGGTACATTCACTCATCTGCCTTTCTATATATGTCAATTCAACGTGTACTATGTATTTAAGTATTTCTTAAAGAATTATGGATTTATTGTAGCTGCTTTGAGACTTTTAGCTATTATTTAGTAGCAAAACCTAAGAAATCACATCAATCACATACAGTTGAATTTAATGTGGTTTGGATTGTTTTATCTTATCAGGATCCTGAGGACACCAATGGATTGCTGGTGGAACAAGAAGACCTGAATCTGTGAAGCCCAGTGGAATGAAATCTTCATATTAATTTTATGAAAACGTTATTGGCTAAGTTATTGTTGAATGCAAAGCACTGTGAGAACCCTGTCAACTTAATATATATATAAAAAACAACTAAATACTACAGTCTCACTTCTATGGGATTCTGGAAAAAAACAGAACAAAGTGATAATAGGTTATAAACAGGTTATGAAATCTAACGTAAACTAAGGGTTGATTTTGTTAGTCTCTGCATAAACCTGTGAGATAGAGTTTATTTTTACTTTCCCAGACGTTGCATCGATATAGACACTAGAGGGCATCAATGTTGAAGTTGTACGTAGAAACTGAGTCAGATTCATTTCAGGGCTGTGAAAATTGACTTCTTTTTTCAAAACTTTTGTATTAAATATGTGTGTAAGATGACAATGAAGGAGCAAATAAAAGGTAAAATGATGAAAAAGATTTAGAGCTGCCCATAAAACCTGAACGGTGCTCAATGTTTTTGTGAAACTTGGAGACTTTAACAGCTCTGGTATATTAGAGTGGGCTACAGATGTTGGGAAGGGTGTGGTGTGATGGGGGATTTCATTAAGAGTACATAACAAGGTCACAGACCATTCATGTTGCAACTATGCACACCCACACACTCAGCGATACGCACAGACTTATATGAGTTGAAAAAAAATCAGAGTGCAGCTACTTTCTCACGACATGTCTGACTAACAGCTTCCAGCTGTTGCTTGGTTAGGAAAGCTGCATTGGGAACCTACTGAAAACAAAGAGAAAGATGGGATTAATGCATACATGAACACAGAGACATGGTACAAAGCAAAGCAGGGTGAAGAACCACGTGTTACAGCTACAACTTCACCCACTCTGATACCCCTAAATAAAATCCAAACTAATATCAACCTGGAGAGACTCACACAGAGAAAAGTTGCAATTAGAAGATATGAAATTATTTTAAACAGGTAACAAAATCATATTCTTCAAAATACTTCTATTTAATGAAAACCAGCGGATTGTGAGGACTCGTTGACTCTCTCCAATCCCTCGCACTGAGCATGCATGTAGCGACAGTGGAGAGTAAAACTCTATTTTTAACAGGAAGAAACCTCCAGCAGAACCAGGCTCAGTGTGAACGGCCATCTGCCGAGACCGACTGGGGTTCAAGGAGACAGAAGCAGACGAAGACCTAAACAAAATAAGTTCTTTGGCGCTCCGGTGACGGCAGACTCTGAATCAACATATGCTTGGATGAGTAACCTAGAAAAGAATTAGAGTAGTAGTAGTTCCTCCGTAGTCCGGACACTGGTGGTGGAATAAGCCAGAGGATGAGTGGGACTGAGAGTGAGGGAGGAGGTAGATGAAAGTTTGCTTGCCTGCGGGAGAGAGAAGCTAGGCCAGGACCTAAATGAAGGGGATGTTGCAAGATGATTGGCATCGGAGAAGGTTCGCCCCCCCCGAATTGATTAGCTGGAGCTGAGAGCGGGACATCACAGGTGGTTCAGGTTGAACTGATGAGAGTCTTCCAGATTGAATTGACGCTTAAGCTTCATTTCTCTTAGGGTTGGGATGAACTAACTATAAATAACTCTGATAGTAGCATCCTCACTGGAATGCAGGGAGAATGCCTCCCTCTACTCAGGTCAGTAAAGTTGGTTAGCACTGATGAGAAGATACATGAATAAATCATTTAGGTTTGCAAGAGACCTGACAAGACATGGGTTTACCTACCAGGACAACATCACCTTGGAGCTACAATTGCATGGTACAGATCAAAGCACATCAATGTGTCAGAATGCTCCAGTCAAAGTCGAGAAATTAACTTTTTATTTCCTCAATCTGACAAAACAAAAAGCCTTCTTGTCAGAACGACCAACCTCATGTCAGGTTGCTTAATTTCACAACAGTGAGGTCTTTTGAGGATATCTTTTTAAACTTAAAATTAAAATGTTTATCTAAAATATGAAACACAGAATCTTTAAGTGGGTCAAAGATCAAGGCTTTGTGATGGTCACTCTGTCAGAGTTTTGCTTACAGTATGGTCTGTCCAGTTGAATACCGATTAGTTCCCAAGCTTTAATTTACCCCCTAACGGGTTGATATATGTGTTTAACATTTCTACCTATCTTGCAAACCTGACAACAGGCTTCTAAGATTTTATTTTCTTCTCCAGCCGTAAGATCATGTTGATCATTTGTCCAAAGCAGTGCCCAGCAGACCATGGGGCGTGTTTCCAAAAAGTAGTCTTTGTGTAAATATCTTTGGTTAAGCGAACTAAGGTGAACGTAATTAAAACGTTCTTTAAACAATTAGCTTTTTTTCTCACTAAGAACATTAACAGGCCTGATGAGACAAAAATTGATTCATTTTTTTATTTTTTATTTAAGCCTCTGATTTCAGCTTTATTTTCAGTTGAGGATCATCAGAATCGGTAAATAATCAATCTGACTGAGCTTTTCACTTTGTGGAAAATGAACAACAGTGTTCTATAGTAGCCTTAATGTTAATATGTAGTTGGGATTAAAGCAAAGAAGCTACATGAAGGTGAACTGAGGGAGAACGTTTAGCCTCGTGGTCTGCAGAGTCACAGCTTTCTTCCTCTGACTCACAAGGAAATCCTGTGAGGGGGAAGTGACTGCAGCCTGGATGTGGTGACATCAGAGAGAGTGTGTCTGGTGGAGCGGAGGGACTTCAGGTCGGGATTCCCTTTGATAAATGTGACAATCTGACCTCTTATCTGAAGGGCATGCAGTTCTTCTTAACTGACATAAGAAAAAAAGCCACACAGAAGCGTCACATTGAGAACATTCATCAATAATTTATTTTCTTACTCTTAAGAACCACCACTGCTTCTTATCTTGAAAATTCATTAATTTCCAACACAGTTTTGCAAAATGTAAAGTTACTATACAAATTCTTAATAGAAAAAAGAATAAATTAACTATGGAATTCAGTTTTTTTTTTTTTAAATCAATTCCACTTTTCATTTCTACAACCCTTTAATGCAATATTACAGCTGAAGAGAACTGATGAACTCAAGTTACATGCTTTATTGTCTGGTTAAGGAGGTGATCTAATATTAAACCGCCTGTTAAAATAAACCTCGTATTGACTGTAGTAGTAAGAATGGAGAGATGTCTAGATCCTACGTGACAAAGCAGTAACTGGTCGTTTTGTAGCACCTCAAAGGTTTTTTTCAGTGTTGGGAGAAAAAAAAAAAGAGGAAATACTGGTTCATATAAAATGGTTACATTTCTAAAATGATCCGTGTGAGTTTAAAAGCCCACAACTTCCCTCTCAACATACATGGAGAGCCTTCTCTCAAAAAAATCCTCATACATGATCATGGAGCGGGGAAATATGGGTGAAGCTACAGAGGGTTTTCACATCGGCTTACAAAAAGCTCAGAGTTTATAAAAGGATCAAAGCAGTTGTTTGTGGGGGGGTCTGGATAGATATACAGTAACAGTTGATTTTAGCAGGAGGAATGATGGTGCTGGATTTGAGGTCATGCATAAGGTTAAGTCTTAGGCACAGAAACTGATGCTAAGACATAAACAGGGAAATCTCAAACCTGACTGCTAACATGGAATGAGCTCTTACAAAATGGTTAAACGCAAATGCTGGTTCTAATCTTGCTTTAAGACGTTTACAAACTGACCTACGCTGCAAAAGAAAAAGGAATCTAAAATCTAAGAAATGAAATCTGAAGTCTTTTTTTCATAATATAAGTGCATTTGTCTTGAATTGAGGAGCTAAGTGAGACACTTTGTCAATGGAACAAACCAATTTACATTTGAAATAAGAAAAAACAAATGCATTGTCTTATTTCAAGTGCATTTTATCTGATTATCTTATGTTAACTGTAAAAATACTAATTCCATTGGCAAATCATCTTATTTACCTACTGAAATTAAGGGTAATAAAGGGAAATTTGTACTTATTTCTAGATTGTTTTTGCAGTGTAGCAATGATGGATGACTCGGTGGAGTAGGCATGCACTTAGGGAATGGGCCACACCTTCATGTTAAAATGACACAGTCGACTCTTGAATCGTACCATTTTCTGCTGAACATCACAGCAAAACCTTGAGCCATCTTAAATGAGCCGTATGATGTAATGCAGGTCATATTTTTTGGAATAAACATTGATTAAATGTTTTTTTTTGTGCTACAACAAACAGTGAAGGAAGTCATTTGGCATCACTGGGATTTTTTTTATCAACAGCTGGGAAACTGGTTTCAAGAGGGTGTGTGCTTTTCTAACCCTGTACTGAATGTTGCTTAGGGTGTGGGGCAAGAATTATACGCATTTATCAATGTTTTTTTTCACCTCTGGTCATATCTTCTTTTGCACTGAGAGCGTAGCTTCTTCTGACCAAAACAGTAATGGTTGCACTTGCTAAGAGAACAGTCACTGCAGGTCCAGCCTTAACTATTGTATATGTTGTGCTTTCAGACCACATGTTTGAATGAAGGAGTTTGAATTCAGTGTGTTTCCCTGGCTGCTGCTCTGGAGGATGGATGGAGCCAGTTTTATGCCTGAAATAGGGTAAACGTTCGGTTACAGTACAAATGCAGAGCACCAGAATGTGAGGAACTTCTTCAGACGAACAGCGCCACAGAGGGACGGACAGACAGTCAGCAGAAGAAGAACCAGTTTGAAGTCAAGCTGGAGGACAAAAGTAAGGCCCACGCCATAAAAACACTTCACCACAAACACTCAGCAGTTTCAACATGGAACTGTAAGGTAGAACCGACTTCAACGGTTATATTTAACTGTGAGGGAAAACATGAAAGAAAAGAGAACTAAAAGGAAATTTAGAGACTGAATGCAGCCGGAACAACGTCTCATACAAATCAAATAGTCTGACTGCATACAGATGCATCTCTAGTAAATACTCAAAAAAAAAATCATTTTTTAGGAGAGGAGAGGAACTTAACAGAAGCTGGACAAAGGTCCAGTCTGAGGTTTCACAGGTTGCTGGTTTAGGCAGCTTCTTCATCTCTTGGAGTTGGTAAACAGAGAAGTCATTTCCGAGGACATTTAAAGCTCTTCCTGCTTCCCTCTCTACAGATAACCTTCATAGAAATGCTGATTTTATTTTCTAACACCTGCTTTGACAACTGATATCACTGTTGACCTGTAAAATGGCTTGATGAACCTCAACAAGTATGTATGGAGTTATATTCACATTTTTTTCTAAATTATTCATAAGTATTCAACTAATCAGAAATTGAAGTGAAAGTCAAAAACATGTGTGCATATCTGATCTTCAATCTTTGAACTGATATTTACTGAGAAAGTAAAATATAATTGAGATAATGTTCCAATGAACAGAGATGCACCTGTATGTTCCTTTGTGGCCAAACTTCTTAAGAACTGCAGATTGAAACCATATCCAATAATATCCCACTCCAAACTCTACACTAAAGATCCTTCACTCCCCTGCTGTTTAAGTTTCACTCCGCTGACTCAAACCATCTTGGAAAAACCTTTACAAAGTTCTTTATTGCTATAGTGCATTCAGATATTCTCCCAGAAAACATCCTAATATGGTTCCCAGGAGCTTCCTCACATATTGCTGACTGACTATTCTGTCATGCTGACACCTACCAGGGGATTGTGGTACCGGTTATTCCCACGCATCGGAAATCTTCTCTTTCTGTTAGTATGTATGAAGAAAAGTAAGGAAACAATGTTTATGGGAATAACATAATGCAATACAGTTCATTAAGAGTTAAAAAATGAGAATAAAACCAGTGGCTCATATCCAGCATGTATCTTTGGGCCGGGTGGCAGTGCACTGGAGCGATGCAGGATGTGATATGAAAACAGGTTGCAGAATAAGCCGATGTGGAGTTTTCTGTGTTGCTGATATTCCCTGTGCTCTGTCCTTTCACCCTCTTGTCCCTTTGTGCTCCAGACGCTGAATAAGGTAAAGGACTGTAGTGCTTTTAGGATTTGGGGAAGGGGGGCCTTTTAACACTTTTCAGTCTGTCCTGTGAAATCAGCCCTTATCAAAGCCCAGCGAGTGTGTCCCTGTCCAGCTGAGCTGTGATAGACAGGCCATAAGAAACAGGCGGAGAAACTTGGGGCGGGATAGAGGCTTGGGTCAGGTCTGGACTGGATGAGGTTGTTGGTTGTTGATGGGTAGCAGTGAGGGACAAAGAGGAAAACAAGTTGTTCTGGGCCGTACAGGAAGGTCTCAGACCAGCGTTCCAGGCTTGGCCTTGTCTTTTCCGTACCACTGCACATCTGCCAGCTCTGAGCACAGGGGGCTGCTGAGAAAACAGCTGTCACTAAAAGACCTGCAGAGAAAGAAAGAACAGAATGGGTTTTGATTTATCAAATAGTTTAATAACTGCACTTGTAAAGTATTTTAGGAGGAGTTAACCACAGTGAAGCATCACAGCTGAGCACATGCAAAGATCAGGTGCAGCCACACAAACGGCAAGACAGGCATGCAGCACCTCCACCAATACAGAGACAGATATGTCAATTCGTCAATCTAATCAGCAATTTCTTGTGTGTAATCAGCAGTGAGCAAAGAACCAACTTTATATTAAGCAGAGATGCACCAAGATATTGTTTAGAATTGGTCGGTCTTGAGCAGTGATGAGCCAATCAGAAACCAAAAAAATCTTTATTTAAATGCACATCGGTAAAAGCTACAAGATCAGCTAAGAGTTATTTTTTCACTAATATAGTGTTTTAAATGATCTAAGAGGAAGCACAGCGATCTGAGAAGCTGTTCTAAAGGTCATTTAGACGTTTTTTTTTATGTTTAAACAATATTCTAGACGGCGAAAATCAGCAGCAGTTCCATAGTTTCAATGGACTGATTTAACTATTATAACGTTACAAGATTTGAACTAGTATGAAATTAAAACAGATAAAAATAAAACTCCAGATAAAGCATATTGACAGACAAAAAAATCATTTTTCATCTTAAATGCAAAATGTTTATATATATATATATATTTTTTTTTTTTACAATTTTGACAGAATTACTGCTCTAAGTGAGTTGCTCTGTCAGATAAAAGCATGTTTTTGAGTCTCTTCACTCCAGCTAACGATTACTTGTTTTAGCCCTAATATGAATAGATTTTAATCAATAACTACCTACATCTGTAAAGCCAAATAATCTTTAATGCTTCTTGTTTTGCAGCTCTTTTATGGAAAATTGCTTTGGACATATTTCATAATAATTTAAAATCTTAATAAAAAAAAACAATTTTGGTAATGGAAAACAAAATTCTGATTGGTGCATCTTTAATATCAAAGAAATCTCAATATAACAAACACTATACCTAATAGTATAATTCCTAAAGAATTAGCAGGACTTATTTAAAGCCATTTTGTTCCAAACTCCTCTGCTGTGTTTCACTACACGGTACCTCTATGCATCAGAGCTGGGCTGAGGAGGGGACTGACAGACGTCCTCAGTAGGAGAGCTGTCTGCTGTGCCTCTAAACCAGGAGAAAGGACACACACACAAAAGGAAAGGGGGGTTAGTAAAGTCAGAAAGACAAACAAGAGAGAAATGACAAATATTAAGTGACAGATGTCCCATAGGTAAAGTTTAAGAACAGAGAGATGATTGAGAAATAAAAAAGGTTAAGAAAAAAGAAAAGAAATAAAGTGAGTTAGCAATAAAGATCTTAAACTGAAATATAAAATGGCCGATGTAAAAGTTTTAAAAGAGAAACCGGATTCACGTGAAGCATGATGAGAAAGCAATGAAAGCTGAACAGAGAGAAACAAACCCAGAGCTTCACAGTCTGATGTGATTTTGCACAAATATGAAGAGTCAAAAGCTAAAGCCTTCCGGTAGCCTCCTCAGAGCGTAGATAAGCGTGTCTTACCCGCTCTTCCAGTTGATGATGTGCTGTGGGCTACAGGGGGGGGTGGGCGTAGCTGGTTGCTCGCTGGAAGGTGTTAGACTCCTCTGGCTGTGAGGCGACGCAGCTGAAGAGAGATCTGACAGTTAGCCAATCAACAGGAATAAAGGCCATAAAGAGGTAAGAAACAAAATAACTTTAGACCTGCAGAACAGCACTCCTTCAAAAAGCTTTTAAGCTTGGCCTTAAAGGCTGGAAACATTTTTAAACACAACCGATGAAATGCACTTGTTTAATTTTTTTGGTGTCAAATATGCCTGCTACAACAAACATGATAAATTATGAGATCTATAAGTTTTTTGCTCGTTTCCTTTGCATCTCTCTTTATACTAAAGAGCTGGATGATAAAAGGTTTGACTCTGGTTTCCCTAGCATAGTGAGTGCAGCTGAGAGCCTCGTGGCTGAGAAGCAGCAAGCCAGAGAAATGCTAGTTGAACTTGAGACGTGGAAAAACAGAGATGTAATGTGTTTATAAGCTGAATTTCACAGCTGCAGTATTGGAGCACTTTGGATTCAGATCCAATGACAATATAATAGTTTAATACAATAATTTCACAGGCAATTCATCTTCCATGAAAAGGCCTATTGGCCGTTAAAGGTCTGTAGTGTCTTGTGCTAAATGCAGTCACAGTTTGAGAACTTCAGTTCCTTTATTTGGTTAGTAAGAAATTAAAGTTTCACTTGTTTTTGTGACACTATAATTCATATAAAGCTGTTTTAAAGACTAAAGTAATAGGAATCAGGGGTCTTTCAAATCTTTAAATACACGTGCATAATTCAAGAAAAGAAAAAAAACAATAATTTAGCAATGAGAAAAATTTTCAAATCAATAAAACCATTTTAGTCAGATATGAATAATTAAATCATTACAGATTAAACTATGTTGGGGGGGGCTACATTTGTTTACCTGTCTGCATGTGCAATCAGTCTAAATTGAGAAAGAGCATTTTCAGTGCTGAGAGACTCGATGTCCTCAAACAGACAGGTTCTCGTTTAAATGGGGGAGGTAAACATCTTTAAAAACAGTTTCCATTGTAGATACATTCATTAAACATAATGCTGTGATAATTTTCAGCATCACAGTCTACTACGGTAAAATGCACTGGTGAGAAGCATACATAAAAGGTTTAGTATGTTGGGATATAAGCCTAACATCCCAACATGTCTTTGATTTCTATAATAATATGGCTGCTGAATAAAAAAACATCAACAATGGAGAAGAAAAAGAAGGATATAAATCTTTCAATTGTTCACTAGAATACCTAGATGTGATATGATCTGTTTGCATATTCTGAAAACATGCTACATCACAGAAATCCAAACTAAAGCTACAGAATCCTAACACGTCGGCAAAAGTTTTAGATGTTTTTAAGGCCCCAGGATTCATTTCCAGCTGTTATTGGTCAAACTGTTCTCAGTCAAACAACATCTTCTCTACTTGACTAGGGCGCATAAAATCACAAAGAGTTACAGCTTAACTACAGTATGTCTGAAAAAAAACCCAACTCACTACAATTTAGCTTGTTTTCCAAATAAAAAATGATAAGAAATGGCATGTGATATAAACAAACTACAAATAAATTGTTATACTTTGTTTTGCTTTTTTTTTTTTTTATCTTTTAAGCCAATTACACTTTTTTTTTCTTTCAAGCTAGTAGTCAGGTATAGTTTTGAATTCAAAGTTTTTTTTTGTTTTTTTTTGGCTTTTGACCTCATACATTTTTATTAAACACTACTCCTGCATTTTCTATGGACTGCTGGACTGCTAAGTAGTGTGCAAATGCATTGTTTTAGTTTAGTTTGTTTGTATATGATCATTCACTGTCAGCTTTAAGTGACAACACCTCATACATTTCCAAGTAATTTGGCAACAAAAATCAGCTAAGTCTCACTGAAATTGTAGCTTTAAGTGCGAACTACAAATCCTGCAAACTACTGCATTATCCACCTCTGATAACAAGTCATCAGGGTTAGATGCCTTAAGCTAGCCTCATACTGCATAGCACAGGTTGGGAGGGTGAGTGCGCTAACAGTTATGCATGGTCATGCACCTCTGGAAGTTTGTCACTTGGTGTGGAATGTTGCTACATTCAGAATAAACAAGATGCAAAAAAAATCCTTAGTTCAAGAGCAGAAGGAAGACAGAAACAGAAAACAAAGAGAAAACAGAAAAACATGAAACTGCATTAACTTTAGACTGATTAAACTTAAAAAAATTAGACTGTACAATAAAACTAAAGTCCAAAATTGTATCTAGATATAATTTTGTATCGTTTTACAAGTAAGTAAGAATTTAATGAAAAAAATCATGTTTTTATTTGGTTTGTAATAATGCTCCAGTCTCATCTGCTGGTTATTTAGTGTCTTGCCCCGTGTCTTCAGAGAACACTGCCTCATCGTCAGCATTAATTACAATTCTTATCGCCCTTTGTTTAGTGTGCCGTCTGCAGAGCAGAACCCTGAGGAGTGACTGTAACTCAGCCTTTGTGATGGGATTTGATAACACCCCATACCTCTACTACAAACATGATCAATGGAAGGCTATTACAATAATAATAAAAAAAAAAAGAAAATTGCTTAAATCATACCTGGTGAGCCTTTGGCAAGTGATCCAACTCTGCTACTCCTTCCATGTCCCAGAGTGCCTTGCTGTGACCCGGCCTCAGACGATGTGGATCCTGAATGTGAGTGGCTTCTTTCTTTCAGGCTCCCTGATGACCTCTGGTACCAACACCGCAGCTCCTCAGACACCGCCGCCCTGCCTCCTCCTCCCTCTCTCCCTAACGATGGAGTCCGTACGATCTGAGATCGAGATGGCGTGAGCCGGCCACTTCCCTCTCCCCCCTCCTCTCCACCCCAGGCCTCCTTATAAAGTCCGCCCGCTGTGTAGGAGCTAGAGGTCTTAAATTGGGCCTTGACGCTGTAGTGGCCCTCCTGGTCGCTCTCCAGGCTGCGAACCACCACACCGTTGGAGCTGCCCTCCACGTACAGAGGGTACTCTTTGATGCGGTACTGGGAGGAAGGCTGGCTCTGGCTGTGAAGGTAAACCCCGTGATGCCCGCCTCCGATTCCTCCTCCCCCTGAGCCTCCAACGGAGCCGTTCTTAGCTGCCAGATTTGGCATAGAGCCCGAGTTAGAGGAACCCAAGTGACCAGCAGATCTGCGGAGAAACATGTTGCTGTTTACCTTTACTGACTCACTTTTCAATAAATCAATCAAACTCTAATAAAAACTAAGGTTCATCCCTCACTCCAAAGCCCTGCCCTCACCTGTGCCTTTGCCTCTGTCTTTGCCTGGCTTTAGAAGGTGAGTCCTCTCCCAGAGTAGAGTAGTTTGGGTTGCTTCCAGGGGGTCCGCCAGAGGGACAATAATGCTCTGAGCTGCTTTGGCTGGTACAGGATGAACAGTCATCCAATGGGTCGGAGCCATTGGAGCCTCGTCCCCGGCCAAGGAAGAAGTCGGGACTACCCAGGGTGTGCGGATGTGCATCAGGATCGGACACCAGCAGTTTGCCCTGAGACTCAAGGCTGGAGCTGCGGTTCCTAAAGTGCTGAGAGAGACTGTGCAGACGTGTGGGACTGATGTCCACTGACCTACGAAATAAGAAAAAGGTTACAAATGGCAAAGTCCCAGTTCAGGTTTTGGGCTTCTTAGTTTGCCTACTGACCTGGTGGAATGTACATAGTGTGGAGTTCTGGTTCTCAGGTCTGGTGTTGATGGCATGCTGGACTGAGAGTTCCAGTGAGGCGCGCCCCTGATCGGGCTGCTCTGCAGAGAGTTACTCCCCCCTGCTTCAGCACTGCCTGAACTTGGGAAACGTCTGTGACTGAACAGAGGTGGAAAAAGTTAGCTCCTTTCACACATTATTCAACCTTTCAACAACTTATCAATAAAAGAAACATGACTCCTCCTTCCTTTAAAATGATGAGCATTTAAAACAAACATTCAGTCTGATGCACTTTTTATCACATTACCACACCAAACTTCCCTGCATTTCATTAGGATTTTATGTGATGAACAAAATAATTAAAGATAATGTTTAAGAAACAGATCTCTAGAGAATGAAATGCATTTGTAAAATTTTGTCTACACTGTTAACAGAAGAACAATGAGAATACCTGGAGTGAGAGGAGCGTTTCTTTACTTTTTCATAGGGCTCATCCAGTGATGATTCGCTCCACATTTTGGGTTTAATGGGAGACTTATCATAGTCAGAGCGAGTGTAGTGCATGTGTCGCAGTCCATCCAGGGACTGCGGGGGAGGAGGCCTGCTGTGAGAGGGGGGTCGTGGAGGGAGGCCTTTATGAGGCGACGCTACAGGAGAGAAGTTTGGGGTGCCTGTAACTTGAGGATCATCTAAAATGAAAAACAAAAAAAAAATTTATTAAAATTATCATATATAAAAATCAAACTTAATGCAGAAGAGGTAGGAGAAGATAAATAAGATTTTACCATCATCCAAAACCAGTGCATCAGACAATGAACTGTCCTCAGAACACATATTGGCTTCTAGAAGAAAGAAAAAGAAAAAAAGGGAAAACATTATGTTGAGGGTTTTATTTATTGTCAGATTCAAAACAGAAGATAAAATGAGTAACAATCACAGAGACAATAAAGTTCAAAGTGTGCATAGAAAGAGCTCTAAGCTCCAATAGTGGAAAAGTATACAAAGCATACAAAAAAAAAATAAGTTCTTCTGTAGAACAAAGGCAAAATGAAATCAGTAATAAAAAATAACCAAAATAAATCTCTAACTGGTGGATGCCCAGATAAATCTGTACCTTCTATGATTAGTGACGCCCTCTGTGTCGGCTTCTTGCCGGAGCGGACCCGGTACTCGTTGATAGAGTTCTCAATTTCCTGGAGTTTCTTAAGTGCATTTAGATAAGAAGTTTTCCTCTGCTTCTTCAGCTTCTTGCTGCTCACATGAGGATCGCTGGCAAGCCGCCTGGCCGCCTCTGTAATCTGCGACTGAATGGCAAACTCCCGCTCCAAGCGCTCAAGCTCCTCCTCCTGGCATAAACACACAAGTGCAAACTTTATATAAAAGATGGAAAAAAAGGTTGCTGTATTCCCACAATGTTTTATCAACAGAAACAAGTGAAAAATCCAAAGACAACAATTCTTCAGTTTCCAGACACGAAATCATACTAACTCTCCCACGCACAAGAGTTATCTGCCAGTAAAAACACACTGCGGATATCATTTATCTATGCCGTAGCTGAACTTTTTCTCACTACTGGATAGTCTCTATTAAGGCCCAGTGTTCCCCTATAATAACACCCCAGCATCGGTCTCTCTTATCCTGAACAACAGGTCTCGGGGGATTTGAGGAGCAGAGCAGGTTGACCAGAAAAAACACACAGTGTGTGCATGAGGGCTGAACTGCACAGCACTTACCGGTAAATGAGATTGTTGTCATGACACAAAAGCAACTCTCCCCCTACAGGGGAGTTTAAAAGCACCCACATATGATTTCAGTTACCCTCAACGGAGACAGGATGATGATGTATTATTAGCATTTGGGTTTTTTATTATTAGACTCAGCTCTGAATAATCCCTCTAACTAACAGCGGCTTTGCAGAACCGCTAGAGCAGCTTCTATTTCTGTGTACACAGTTTAAGGTGCTCAGTGTAAAATTAGGACATCTTTCTGCTTAGAAGGGGCTTTTTTTGTAATACTGTTTCCCTGGATTCTTTTCAAAGAACAGAAACACACACAGACACACACTTTCAGGCATGCACACAGACTTACTATCACCACTTCCTGTGGTTAAAATCCAATCAGACTATATTTAGCAGCTCTATTCTGTTGGAAAAAATACCCGTGGCACAAAAAGGAAGCAAAGGAAAAAAAAAAAGCTGAACTTCTTTTAGGTGAGAGACGTGTCAGACTGTGCGCTTTTCCGGGAATGAACTTCAGCAATTGTTTAAACACTGTATATCTCAGCGATCTTGTGTTTTTATTAAGCTTGTTTGGATAAAGAGGCTACAGAAAAAGAGGTGGTTTGGGGAACTAGGAATTAGACCATTACCTCGCCCTTTGGTAAGATTTTCTGCTCATCCAGTTTGAAAGCAGTGCCAATCTTCCGCCTCACCGTGGGTGGTTCCTCCCCAGGATCCAAAGGGTATTCCTTTGGAAGTTTTCCTGTCAGTTCCTGGAAAATATTAGGATAGAAATGTTAATGAAAGGTTTCTAGGAAGTATTTAAGTTTCAAAAAAAAAATTATAATTTTTTTTATACCGCTTCTCTGATACAGATGCTCTTGAGTTCCTCTAGTCTCTGCCGTAGAGTTTCCTCCAGAGCTTCCTGCCTGGCCCTCAGTGCTGCCAGCATGTCCTTTTTAGCAGTTTGGGAGCTGTCTGATTCCTGAGAACCTGCAAGGCGCAGACAACACAGAGCATGAGGCTGAGAATCAGGAGCAGTCTTGTCAGGAAGATTAGAGAAGGAGAGCAGGTCCTCTGCACCTGCCGCTCCTGCAGGATGTTTACAGCGGAAGCGAATGGAACGTTTTGATAAGGAAGTTTAGAGTCAGAGCTGTGTTTGTGCGAGCATGCCAAGGTTTAGACAAAAGGGCATTTTAGGACAAAGTCAGTGACGCAAGTCTCCAGGGCCCGGAGATGGTGCTAGTCCCTTTTGTAGTATTCTACATTAAAAACAACGCAAACATACAAACAGAGACCGTTCCTTTCTCACTGATCTGATGTTGTTCACTGTGTGACTGACCTTTCGCACCGTGCAAAAGTAACCAATGCTGAGAAAGTGTTTTGCAAAAAAACATGCAAAGCAAAATCTTATTGTTTCAATTGTTTTCAAGGGCTAAAACTGAACAGAGTTTAGCTTGGCATATGTGCTACTATTGCACCATTTCTATCTTTGTGCAGCGGTCATCTACTGCTGCAGATTGTTCCTTTGCATCACCCAAAAGCTTGAACACATATAGTATCAAATTTCACATGTTAATCAATTTGTAATTGCAAGAATAACTTAAATACTTAAGTAACGTGTGTAAATCAGTCCAACACATATTAGACATTGAGTATAACCCATTATTGTGGGTTAAATGATTCTTTTCCATGTTACTTCCTATCAGGTAAACGACCAAATGAAATTTTAGCAAGACTGTAAAGGTGACCATGCAGCAGACAATCACCAGGTAGCTGCTCTCTAGTTTCTTTAACAATCTAAAATGGCCTTCTGTAATTCAAAGGGATTTTTCCTTTCAATCCTAATTTTAGCTGAAAAAACAAAGCTTCCTGTTACATTCACCACCAGTTTAGCACAGATAAGCATTGTTTTAAAGGCCATGGTAAATGTGTACTCATGCCGCTGCCCTTTCATTCTCTCCCTGCCTAAATTTAGAGGAAGCATGGGCCTCTGGAGGATGAATCTGTGACAGGGAGGGTGGGAGAGGTATTCCATACATACTGAAAGGCACAGGGCGGGGTGTTTGTACAGTATATGCGTGAGAACATACAACAGAGAATGAGTGTTCTTTCCAGGGACAGCTGTTTCTGTCGCTCCAAAGCCCCTCACTGCCCATACCGACACATTCCAACACATAGAGAGTCTCAAACATTTTTCTTTCCCTTTTGTATTTTTTTCACCTCAGACACACTCGCTCCCACCGACCTGAGGACAGCAGACTGCCGCTGCTGCCACTGATAATCTTGCCCTTGCTCCCCATGTTAGCCAGTTTGGAGGTCTTCAAGGTTCCTGTTTCTGTGAGATCTATTGCGATCTCACTCAGACTCCGTGCAGCATGGATCTTTGACTACAAAGATAAAAAAACAGAAAGGTTAGCAAAAGCATGTCGTTTACAAACACAGATGTATCTCAATACATTAGGGTAGAATAGAAGAAAGTGAATTCATTTCAATAATTCAATCCAAAACTATAAACCTATGTAGAGCAAATGGATGAAGTGATGCATTTCTGTTTAATCGGACATAAAAACCCAAATCAGACATTAAAGGAACAACAATTATGAACACAGAACTGCAAAGTCATGAAAAAAAACTCCCCAGTTTTTCAGTAGACAGTTGGAGCCTCCCTACTAGATGCACATTAATGGACAGTTTAGGGGAAGGAAAAAGTGTCGTACCAAAACAGTTAAAGGAAATGAAGCTTATTTGAATGTTTGTTGAAGATTAACAAGCCCTATAATAAAGGTGAAGTTGATGCCTCAGAACCACCAGACACAGAAGCATCAGGGACCTTGGGTTTTGCAAATTGCTAACAGCTAAATTCCTTGCATTAAGTCACACATGGAACAGAAACTTAATAAACTCTTCCACGAACCAAGGACACAAAAGTAAACTTTGTATTTCATTTGGAAGTCAAGGTTGAAATGAAGATGGGAGGCACCAGCATCAGCAATGCGAATGTGCAGAAAGCTACAGTACATTAAGGCCATTAAGGCCAGATTATCTGCTGATGTTATTCAGTTATATGACATAATGTTTGAAAAAGTGATGTGTTTTCTAAGCTTTCGGTCTTTATTTTTACATAAAATGGAAATAAATGCAACAAAAACAGTATGAAGCTACCCTGCTTTAATGGAACGGACGAGTCGACTCTTGCTTTTAAATCTGGCTTGATGCTTTCAGACTGACCTTGCTTTGCTTGCGGTCCAGGTAGAACTGATGCTGGCTGATAGCCATGGCCCAGATGGACTTGATGAGAGCAGGACAGGCGTACCAGGTATGCACAGCGATGCCACTGTGTCCAAACGTCCTTCTCGTTACCGACGCCCTACAGTAAGAGCGGACACAAGGCCTCCTTATATACACTGAATACAACAGTTCCACTTCTCTAGTTACTACTACTGCTTCTGAGACTGACAGATAATGATAGAGATGCTTTGTGTTTTTTTTTTTAGCAAAGCCACACACAATGTCCCAAATTGTTTACTCATCCTTTTTCAAACACACATCTGTAGCAAAGCAGCAGAGCAGTTTGCTCTAATGACAGCTTCCTTTTAAGAAGCCACCGCTGCTCCCTGTTTCACCCCGTCTGTCTCTTTTTCTCTCTTTCTGTCAGTAGAATAACGTTCCATATATATAGCCATGTTAAACAAACATCTACAAAGAGCTCCCATAGAGCCACCTCTCCTTTCTCCTTCTCTTATAATCTATCAGTGCTTTGCCCCAGTTGGTGTGTGCAAGTTTAAGGCTATCAATCTGCTCCACCATGGCATCGCCAACCTTCTGCTGGCTGCCAAGACAAATTTTTGAAGCTTTTACTATATTAGACTCCAGGCGCTCTTTCCATGCTGCACATATAATATATTTTTTCATCTTTGCATATCCCCGATATAAGTGAGCAATAATTTAAAGTAAAAGCCACTGGAAGGAAAAATATATCATTTAAATTGGCATACTTTTTCTAAAGCTTATGGGCTCAGATCAACAAAAAAGACTGTAGTGACTGAATGATGGTCTAAAAATCTAAGTCAATATAATAACACAAAACAATAAAATATTTAAAGAGCTTGAGTTTGTGGTATAAAGTTACCTCCTGGGGTCATGGACTTCCACTGAAAACTTCTTCTCTCTGAAGTAAAGGTTCTCCAGCTGACGCCATTGAAACACCTGAGATTTAGGAGAAACAGATGGTGTTGAGGAGAGCTCACAGGAAAACGTGCTTCACATCAAATCCTCACAGCCTTTAGCCTGATCTCTTCCCAGACTTTTTCTTTTTGTTTGGCAGGAGCATGCGAAGGAAACAGGGAAGCAGGGAGAAAAAAAAAAAAGCTGATAAAGACGAAACTGTAAGGAGACCTCAAATCCGAAGGTCCAGAACAGGCGGTCTTTCCACAAAGGATCCCCGTACTGGATGACTTCACACTGAAGTAAGACAGCGTGAGCGGAAGGAGGCTGTTTTTTTTATTTTTTTTATTCCCCTTCTGTCTTCTCCATGAACCATTTGCCTCTCAGTGAAATAAAGTCCAAGCCAGCTGTGTGGGAAAGCTTCCCTGAAGACGCGCTCCACAGCAAGTGGGTAGGTTCAGTCCTTCCAGGCGTCAGAGGGAAAGAGTTTTCAGGTGGTGTGTGTTCACCATCTGGAGCCATGTGTATGTTTGTGAGGAGAAAGTGAGTAAAGTTAAGTTTCCTCCTCTACTGAAGTTCTGCTGGGAGGGTTTAGAAATGAGTGGGGGAGTGTATCCCCTCCTAGTGACCCCTCCTCCCTCCCTATCTCCCTCCCTCCCTCCCTCCCTCGGGGACTATGTGTTCAGCTCCAGGCTGCAGTTGGGAGGTGTGTGTGTAACAATGGGTTTGCGTAGAGGTTGTGGTGAGTGTGTGTTTGTTTAAGCTGGAATAAGACTTAAGGCTTTCTATAATCCTGGTGATTGAAGTGCCATTGTAAGTCAAAACTGTCTGTGACCAAACCTTTTGAATTTCTAGCATCAATCAGACTGAGAGAAACAGCATACAGTATTAAAGATATAAAGTAAAATCATGATAGGAAACTTAATTTGCAATAAAAAAATAGCAAAAACAAAAACAGAAGGGAATAGAAGGGTCTAAACTAATGCACCAAATATATAAATAAATAAGTATGTTTAAAATAAATAAATAAATAAATGTTGATGTGCATCTATATGCACGCAAATGCCTCGGGAAAGAAAATCTGCTGCCTTATCAAAACCCCTGCTACTTTCAAACCATCAGGGGAGTGTGAAGTGCTAATGTAGCGTGATGTTAAATATAGTAGGCAGGGCAGATGTTGAGCGTGTGTGGGTGCGTTTGTTTCGGGAGATAAGACTGGTGTTTCAAAAGGTCTTCTAGGGTCATGGCTCTCAAATTAGTGGTAAAGAATTTTAGTTAGTGGTGCTCATATTTTTTTTTATATATACCATTTGCATTGTAAACAAAAGACTAATAAACTGTGTGTAGGGCAAAGACATAGAAATAGCCAAAAAATGGTGAGTAGTTCAATAAAATATAACCTAAAATTTCAGGAAAGTGAAGCTTGGGGGTTTCAAACAACTCCAATTACATAAGTAATACCAATATGGCCATCTTCCATTTGCTAATTAGGAAGCTAATGAAATATGCTAACTGCTGCGCTCAGTGATACATTAACTTTTAATGATCAGAATGCAATAAAAGCAGTGGGTTTTTTTGTTCACCTTGCTCGCACTGTGGGAATCCACTTTTTGGCATTTCTTATTAATCTGGCAGTAGCCAGATTGATATGTGAAGAACCTGGAAGAACCTTCCATAATACGCTTTCAGGCAATCGTAGCAGTGAATCTTGGCGTTTCGTAAGCTGATAAATCAAACTTTTTCCAAATCCTGTCAGTAGAAAAGCACAGACATCTTTCTAATTTATCTATTTCCACCATATCTAAAATGTACTCTATTGGATTGAACTCTGGTGACTCTAGAAGCCCTTAGTGTTAGTAGTGAGCTTATTGTAACTTCTTAGAAATCATTTTGGGAACATCTGAGCGTGGCAATGTAGTCTATTATCCTGCTGGAAGTAGCCATCGAAAAATGACCACAATCAGGGTTATGAAGGGGCGGATATAGTCTGAATACAATCAGGTATGCTGAACGTGAAAAATCCCCAACAATGTGCAAAGGGCTCAAAATGCAGTGAGAAAATATCTCCCACGTTGTCACATCACCACCTGCCTACACTGTTAATAAAAGGCCAGACAAGTCCATGGTTTCACGCTTTGTAAGGCAAATTCTGACTCTATCACACGAAGATTGTTGGTAAAACTGAAACTAATAAGAGCTAAAGCTATAATTTCTCATCAAGGGTCAACATGTTAAACTTTGATGAAGAGTATTCTGCACAGCCTGGTTGTGACTAGTGGTTCTTTGAGCAATTGCTGGTTTTCTTTTACCTCTGACCAATCTGTCGTATATCACCTGACCCTTTACTAAGGTGTTTTCATTAACTACTCAATGCTAGCAAGATCTGTAGAGGTGACGGATGCTTGTTTGAAAACCCCTCAGTAGATCAGAGTGGTCTATCCTGCAATGGTACCAAAACTCATATCACTTTAACTACTTTATGTGCTATTCTGAGAAATACTTTGAACCTCAGAAAGCTGGAAATGCAGTGATGTCTTAGGTTGCTTCAATGAATTTGGATGATATATTTTATGTATTAAGAAACACTTGAATAAGTACATCTATATTATTGAACAATTATGAAATATGTTTACCAATGTATTTACTGTCCAATAAGGTGAAACAGTTTCTGAAAGGTAAATCTATATAAAGACATTTCAAGATTTTGGTAAACTTGATTAGAGTGAAAATAGAATCAAACAAGTTATATCCAATGTACAGTCCCTATAGATGACTTAATATTTCTTTTTTTCTTCGGGAAAAAACAACAACAGGCTAATCCACACTGGACTGTGTAACTATTTTAAAATGTCTGTCAGTATGATAGGACTTAGAAACCTTTGTCTTTTCCTGAGGCGATTCTTGTAAAACAGTTCAGGAACCATTGTTCCAAAGCGTGACAACAAAAAGCTGTTTATATATCTGTTTTAGTGTCTTACTTTACTTTACTGTTCTCTGTCAGCTGTGTTCCTTTAATATGAGCTTTAAACATGAAGTATTTATATTGTCTTTAAATCTACTGTCACATTATTTCAGGCCTACTTCAAAGTTCTATAAACCTTTGTGATTTTTCCACAGCTGCATTTTTTTATGATTAAGGTAAAAGCCACTGGGTGGTTCTGTTATTAGTGTTGTTCATGTACATCTGCACACAATACAGACCCTCTTCCTCTTGGCTGTAGTCTACTCCTACACAATGGCACAAACACACAAGCAAAGGAAGTGACTGGTCATTATTCATCACAGAACAGAGTGCTCATGTGTACAGAACCTCGCCTGTCTCATAATAATGTCAGCACAACCAAAAGCACATCTATCACAGATGGAAAGGTCAGTTCTGATAGAGTGCAAATGCCTTTCTCTAGTGTAGTAGACTCCCTGGAGATTACAGAAGCACAGAACATTTAAATAACGCAGGTCAGGACAGCGGCAGTAATGTGATGGATTTTTCTTTTTTGGACTTTGACTTGTGAGCAGGAAAGATAATCCTTTAGTGCGCAAGATTGGATACTTCTGTATGGGTCTAACTACGGCAGTCATGGAGCTGCACATAAATCTGAACACACTTCCTTTTATTAACATTTCATTTCCGCTATACACAGAATAAAAATTTTAAATACTTTAGATTCCTATGTATCTTATTTGGAGAGAAAAAAAAAGTTTAAATTGCAACATTTCCTATATCCCTTCATATACAGTATAGTTTATGACATTCTGGACCTTTGCAGCTTTTGCTGTAGTTTTAGGGTTGCTGCCCTGCTGGAAGGTAAGTGTCCATAAATAAAAAATAACTGTGTTCAACTTATTAGTTAGGTGACATCTGATAGCAGCTGGTTAAGCTGAATTTCACTTATCAGATTAAAACCAAATCAATAACACCCATGCCTTCCTATTAGCAAGTCCTTTTCTAAAAGTTATAGAGCAGCACATTTTATTTAAACTATAAAACGATGAATTACTTGATGTTGGTCAGTCACATAAAATCCTAATAAAATAAACCAAATAAGCTTACTGCTACATGTGAAAAAGATAAGGAGATTTGAATAAAAAAATTCACTATATAAAGTAGGGGTGTGGGAAAAAAATTGCTTAGGCAATATATCGTGATTTTTGGCTGCCTGATATATCAATCTTTCAGTTCAAAGTATCGATTTTTTTTTTTTAAACAAAACATTTTTATATAAAACTTAGGGGAAATGGGCAACCTATGTGCCACCACTCTGGGAAATAATGCTGTGGAGCCCGTTTGCTGGGCGGCGCAATGCCATATCTGTGGTTGAGGCAGTCACAGTGGAAGAGGTGGACTGATTCAAACCCCAAACAACATTGATACCAAAATAACTGAATGATCAGTATCATCTGATGAATATACAGGTGCTGGTCATAAAATTAGAATATCATGAAAAAGTAGATTGATTTCAGTAATTCCATTTAAAAAGTTAAACTTGTATATTATATTCATACATTACATACAAACTCATATATTTCAGATGTTTATTTTGTTTAATTTTGATGACAACAAATGAAAATCTCAAATTCATCATATCAGAAAATTAGAATATTACTGAAGACCAATAAAAACAAAGGATTTATAGAAATGTTGGCCAACTGAAAAGTATGAACATGAAAAGTATGAGCATGTACAGCACTCAGTATTTAGTTGGGCCTCCTTTGGCCTGTATTACTGCAGCAATGCGGCGTGGCATGGAGTCGATCAGTCTGTGGCACTGCTCAGGTGTTATGATAGCCCAGGTTGCTCTAATGGTGGCTTTTAGCTCTTCTGAATTGTTGGGTCTGGTGTATTGCATCTTCTTCTTCACAATACCCCATATATTTTCTATGGGGTTAAGGTCAGGAGAGTTTGCTGGCCAATTAAGAACAGGGATACCATGGTCCTTCAACCAGGTACTGGTAGCTTTGGCACTGTGTGCAGGTGCCAAGTCCTGTTGGAAAATAAAATCTGCATCTCCAAAAAGTTGGTCAGCTGCAGGAAGCATGAAGTGCTCTAAAACTTCCTGGTATGTGGCTGCGTTGACCCTGGACCTCAGAAAACACAATGGACCAACACCAGCAGATGACATGGCACCCCAAACCATCACTGACTGTGGAAACTTTACACTGGACTTCAAGCAACGTGGATGAAGTGCCTCTCTTCTTTTCCTCCAGACTCTGGGACCTTGATTTCCAAAGGAAATGCAAAATTTACTTTCATCAGAGAACATGACTTTGGACCACTCACCAGCAGTCCAGTCCTGTTTCTCTTTAGCCCAGGCAAGACGCTTCTGACGCTGTCTGTGGTTCAAGAGTGGCTTGACACACAAGGAATGCGACAGCAGAAACCCATGTCTTTCATACGTCTGTGTGTGGTGGTTCTTGAAGCACTCACTCCAGCTGCAGTCCACTCTTTGTGAATCTCCCCCACATTTTTGAATGGGTTTTGTTTCACAATCCTCTCCAGGGTGCGGTTATCTCTCTTGCTTGTACACTTTTTTCGACCACATCTTTTCCTTCCCTTCGCCTCTCTATTAATGTGCTTGGACACTGAGCTCTGTGAACAGCCAGCCTCTTTAGCGATGACCTTTTGTGTCTTGCCCTCCTTGTGCAAGGTGTCGATGGTCGTCTTTTGGACAACTGTCAAGTCAGCAGTCTTCCCCATGATTGTGTAGCCTATAGAACTAGACTGAAAGACCATTTAAAGGCTTTTGCAGGTGGTTTGAGTTAATTAGCTGATTAGAGTGTGGCACCAGGGGCCATCAATTTTGAACCTTTTCACAATATTCTAATTTTCTGATATGATGAATTTGAGATTTTCATTTGTTGTCATTTGTAATCATCAAAATTAAACAAAATAAACATCTGAAATATATGAGTTTGTATGTAATGTATGAATATAATATACAAGTTTCACTTTTTAAATGGAATTACTGAAATCAATCTACTTTTTCATGATATTCTAATTTTATGACCAGCACCTGTATACAGAGGTTGCTTTTTATCTATATATTTAAAATTTTGATAGCAAGAAAAATATCGTAATATATGGTCATATTGCAATATAGTGATAATATCGTATCGTGAACCAAGTATCGTGACACGGATCGTATCCCAACCTCCATGCCACTACTCAATGCTAATATAAAGTGATGAACTCCAGACAGTGCCCACTGGGTAGCCTTAATCAGTCCTGAAAATTTATTTAGTCATTATGCACACCCTAATTGTTACCTCTGTTTTAAATGTTTATATATTTTCAAGTTGAGTAATGATTTTACTCCTACTTCTTGAGTCAGCGTACAGACCATTGATGATCAATAGTCAGTTCTGAGTCACTGATTACTGGTAGTAAAACAGGTGACTGACTGATTAAAAATGTGAAAAAATCATGGCCTGTTTAACAGGAAATAATCAGTTCATTTACTGAATGCTGATGACTTTCCTGTCCGCAGCTCAGAACCTTCCAACCTAAAATCTCCAGTGTTCTCAATGGGTTTTAACTGAACTTGTGATGCTGAAGCAGTCCAGCATAAAGAGGCCCAGAGTACTCCAGTCTCCTCTTATAAAAGCTTTCATGTTTTATTTCTGAAGCATAACGAAGCAGTGACTCACACTGTGACTGTAGCCATGTCTGTTGAATGCTTGATAAGTCCCTTGTGATGGATTGCTACGGTTTCTCTCTGCACTTCTTGATCATTTGCGTTCATGTGTTTCTGTTGTTCATTGTCACTTGGTGTAGAGACTAACATGTCAGAGGCAAATGAGTGAAGACTTCTCTGTAAAATGATGTCAAGCTTTTTACCTACTCAAAGGTTTTTACCCTATGTTCTGGTGTTAATGTGCTTGTGAATTGGATACACTGTTAGTGGAATGACTGTTAGTGTTGTTTTAATGATATAACACCCAGGTTGTTTCGGGATTTTTTCCTTTAATGAGACATTTTGCACTGAAAAGTCCAAATTAAGAGGTGGGCACTCTCAGAAAGAGGGTTAGTGGCAAACAGGGAAACGTTTAAAGGCTAGTAGGTTTACAGGGTTGTTAATGAGGTTAATGGTGTTTTATGCAAGGCTGAACTCAAAGAGTTAAAGATCTTCCTCCAAACACACACTGAGTGGAAGGAAGGTTCCCTTAGAAAGGCAGAAATAGATTCCGGACAGGATGTTTCATTAAAAGACTAAAAGGTCTCCAGAGTTGTGTTGTGACACATTTTTAACCCTCTTCAAAACTACAATGAAGACTCACCGACCACAAAACTGGATGAAACGCAAACATAAATGGTCACAGATATGATTCCTGCAAGCTTCTTATTACCAAATACTTTCCTTATCATATCCTTAATAGAGAAGTTATTTCGAACCCATATTTAAAGAAATGTACCAGCAGATGGCTGATGGACAAAGAGATGTATAAGGTCGGGCCTACACTTTACGATATTTTAAATCGTTGCATGCAGCTACAGCTCGAAAATTCACCCCTCACAATGTATGTTCTTACAATGTACAGCCCGATGCTCTGATGCGATTTAACTGCTCGTACTGTACGACCATTAACCACTCACTGCCGAGAGATGCCTCTGGTCGGACTTGTCAATCTGGAAGAAGAAGAACTCCCCTGTTTGCACACGCACAGTGTGCAAGGTTCAGGTAAATTGGCTTGAAGACTCTCGTAGCTCTGCTTCAACAGCAGGATTTGTCACTAACACCTTATGATTGCCGAATGAATTTCAAACTTGTTTGATTTTCTCCTGACCTTACAATTCCTGATAGGAGGTGGTCATGTATGGCTGATCACCCCTTGTTACCCCCTGTATACAACACAACGCGAATGCACAATGAGGCTGAAACTCGGCCCGATCCAAAAGAAATTCTTGCATGACCGGAAAATTGGTCCGAAATGGGCAAAAACTCGTACAATGTATACTTGGCTTAATGGACATGTGGATGAAGGTAAATATACCTGGGTGGATGGTAAAAAATATATGAAAGGTAAAGAGGGTAAAACAGGGAATAGAGCCAGTGCTTATCAACAGCTGGAAATAACTAAGATTTAATACTTTTACAGAAATTATCATGTATTTTCCATTTATGGTTTAGCTAAAATGAGATGTATTTACCATGCTAAATTACCACAAAATTTGAGGTGAAAATATGAAGATTCAGAGTGGCATTATTTAAATCATCAAACTTTTATTAATGGAAAGTTGACACAGAAAAATTAATGTACAGATGGATTTGTGCATCAGAGATCAGAAGAAGAACCATCTTACCTTCCTTGGTTTGACTTTGTCCTGGTAATCATACTGAAAGATGCCTTTATAGCTCAGACCCAACCACCACGGGATCCCCTGTTTGTCCTGAGAAACACAGAAAAACTTCCCTAATATCTGCTTGCAGGCCCAGAGGAAACAAAAATCTCTGCAGTGCACATGTGAGAAAAAAAAAGGAAAGGCAGAGTTGTAAAACTGTACCTTTACACCATAGTAATGTACTCCATATGTGGGCAGAGATTCCACAATGCTCATATAACTGTAAGAAACAGAAAGGCAGATATTTAACTAAAAACAGAGGAAAGTGTTCCACATACATGAGATAAATAAAACCAGAGACCTAAAACTACGTACTTTACAATAGCCTGGCCTCTGGACTGCCCGCTGAGCTTCTTATAATGCTCTATGACCCGGTCCTCACTGCAGGAGAGAGCAACAGGAGAAAACAGGATATTATCAGGCAGAGGGATAGTGGACGAGTCTGCACAACAAATAACTAAGCATGTTCTCACCAGTAAGCCAGAGATGGGTGCTCCTTTAGTGCTTGAGTGGGCAGAGCCGGGAGCTTTTTCAGATCAGACCTTGTTGCATCATCACTGCAAAAAGGGAAAGAAAATGAAGTCAACGCTGTTTCTCAGTCTGATGATGAGCTGAGGATGCTTTTATACACACATAATAATCTTACAGATTTTATCGGGTGCTAAAAGAGGAATGTAGAGTTTATTATAAATGTTAAACTGTCTTTTAACCACTTTGGGGGAAATGAGTACAGGAACTGTATTTAGTAAAAAAAAAAAAAGAAATAAGTGCTGGTGGCCAAAACGTGCGCTCTATTTTAAGCACTGGGTGTGGTCTAAGTCTAAACAGCTGCAGGAACAAAAAGAGCAAGAGAAATACAGATGTGAAATCAAAAGATAAGCACAGATAAGACGGGATAAAAACTCTAAGGGGTTGGAACTGGAACAGATTAAGACACAGATAGAGTAAATGAGACGCGGAGCCGTGCAGAGAGCTACAAGGACTTGGCCCCTGATTCCGTTTTCAGACCTCCAGTGGCAAGACTTCTAAATGCTCTGCTCTAATCCCCAGGCTTCACTCCAGCCTCCACCAAAGGCCCCAGAAGATTGGGAAAAGCCCTGGGAACATGACAACCTATGAGCTAAGTCTCTGGAAGAGATCCCATCCACCCAGCCAGTCTGTTCTTCGAAGTGTAAAAACAACTGTGTCTGCTTTTGTTCATAGCTGCTTGTGTCGCTAATTATCAGGTTTGCAGCAGTATTCAACACTATAGGTTTTACTTTGTAACCTCAATTTTTTTATTAGGAATTCCATTTTTTTTAAATAAACACCTAAAAATTGTGGTGTGCAAACAATGTTCCCTGTAAGCAGCACACTGCTTGCGTATTCTCAGCACACAAGAAAATCTATGACGTACATAAAATGAAATCCATCATAAACTTTAAATCAATTATTCCAATAAAAATTTTTTCTATATCATTTTGAATCTGTGTATCATTCGTACTTCAACATAAAATGAACAATAAAAAAAAAAACAAATAGGGAATATCTATGTTCATGTTATTTCTATATTGTTTTGTGCTCTAAAAGCATCTCGTCTCTATGACGGCTATCAGGAATGACCTCAGCGTGCTGGACGCTGGATTCTCAGATATGGTGGCTGTTGCACTTAGATAGTTAGCAGCTACATGAAATCTCACAGCTTGTAGATATTTTTGCAACATTTCAAGCATGATTGTGAAAGAGGAATTAGTTTAATGAATCATATTTTAAAACAGCAAAACCATCTTGAAGCGGCATATTTGGAAAACCATTGGGGAAGTGAGGACAGATGTGAAAAATAGATCAAATTTAAGTCAGATTTGTTCTTTTTCTAGTGACATTTGTTACTTTTTTTTATTTATGGATATTAATCATGAAATGCTTAGACTATTATATAATTTATATTAGGACAAATCTTAAAGAACTGTGTAATCAAATATTTCACAAATAGTTACGGGGATTCAGTATCTTAAGCTTCAACACATTTCATTGTGAAAAACGTGAATGTTTTAATGTGGACAAAAAGTTATGTCTAAAAGGTGAAGCATCTCGTTCCTTTAAGAGTAGGAGCCTCATCTTTGCCAAAGCATGACTCTTTCATATAGCATATTACTGCACATCTCAAATATTATGGGAAAGATCACCTCATTAGAAGTAAACTAATGGAAATTGCTGCTATAATCTCTTATACTTTTTATAAGCCATGTAACCTGCTATGATCGCGGGTTTATAGCAAGTTTCAAATTGGCGTGTGGCAACAGCATACACATCTGATGTTGCATAGACTTTTCCGCAATGTACTCATGGAGCTTGTGTATATGCCCAGACAAAAAAAAAATTTGAGGGAAGATTGTCTGCGAATGTGTTCTGTTTAGATATGTACCAATCCAATATTGTTATTGGTATCAGTGGCAAATTGAATATTGGTGAAAATGGGCCAAATCCATAGGGTCAGATCCAGAGAAGTTTCCCTAATAGAAGTATAGGGGGCCACAATTTTTGTTGGTTGCTGCTAAGAACTTCCATGAATAATATGCAGAGCTTTTGGTGGAGAGCTGGAGATGTAACAGTCAGTGGTCTGATTGTGGCTAAAGAAACCAAGTCTGTAGTCTAAAAAGAGTCACATCTTCTCTTGCCTGAGTTGCCCCTACACTTTGTAATACTCAGTGAAAATGGCACCTTGATGAAGGGCAGGGGGGATGTGCCTTTGTAAATTAAAAGCATCGAATCCGTCACTCGATCAGAGGGAGCCACTGAAGGAGTTCATTTTGATTTCAAAACCTTTTTTGGATAACAGGGTGGACTCTGTGGCAATAGGATGGCAGCTGTTTAGGAGAATATCTGGTTGGGTCCAGCTGTGCAGGTGCAACCCATAGTCTCCACCTCTTCATCCTCTGTAACCACCATCCCAGAATTATTGCTGGAATCATTCAGACACTTGCTTGTTATCAGCACAGCTGACGTTGCTCGTTAAGTTTTGAACAGCTTTTGAGGTTTTTCAGGTTGTTCTGGTTGCCATATGCAGCCATGGACTCTACAAAATACATGTATTTTGATCTTGCTGTAGCATTAAGCTATTTTGCCTCATTATCCTCTGAGTTTGATATCCTAACAAGATGAGGAATAGATAAACCACCTTCTTTTATGAGATATAAATGAGAAAGTATAAATTTTAGAGCAACTGTTAAAAGTAAAAGTAAGCGGGTGAAGAGAGATGGATGGATGGATGTTAAATGTAAATAAACACTGACATTATTTAATTGACAATAAGTAGAATGATAAGCTTGGTAGTGAAAGTAAACAAGATATGTCCATTAAAGATGTCTATTCATTTTATTTCTTCAATATATTTAAAGCAACACTGAAACATTTAGCCACTACAGTAGGTGCTCTAGACTTGTTACTTCCTGGGTTAGGGTTCTGACAACGCTGTACTGTCCCAAAATGAAACCTTCTTCCTCTGTGTTTTAGAACCTGATAGCAGACCTCTTTGGAGCAGCAGATTGATGGAGTTACTTGTAAAGACACCCACCCCTCTATGTAGAATCCTAAATCAGGAATTTGTCCTCTTTGTATGATTTACTGTTTTTATGACCTGACCTTGTACTAATGGATTTGAAGTGAAAAAACATGGACCAATGCATCACTAATCAAATTTTTATTTTAATCTAATCCCCCTAAATACATTTCCTGTAGAGAAACCTAACTACTAAACAAAGTACACCTGAGTGGAAACCGTTTTCAAAATATACAGCTGTTCTGTGAAAAGACAGCATTGGTGAACATTGAGAGCAAGGAATCCAACAAAATGGTCAGGGGTCAAATTTTGGAGAAGCTAAAAGGTTAAACACAAATGTTCCAAACTTTAAATATCTCAGGAAGCACTTTTTTTTATTATCAATTATTAAAAACTGGAAACAGCAGGACGCAACTAGAAACCTACTGAGCCTGAGGAAGCTGCAGAGAGCCACGGTTTATGTGTAGGGATCTGATTGCTAGTGTTCGTGCACAGAGTAGCAAAAGGAAAGTCATCGCCTACAGAAAACCATTAAAAATCCTGTTTACGAGCCATGTAGGACAGAGCTGTTTTAAGTTGAACTTTTTAGCCTTTATGCACCTCTATAATAGAGGAAAACACAGCACATAATGCAAAATGCACTATCACCATACTGAGGAATGATGCCAGAGTTGATGGATGGAGCTAAATGCATGAAAATGCTGGAGGACAATAGGAGGATTTGATTTGTAAATAACAAAAAAATAATAATAATACCATAAATGTTCAATTTATCAGACATACTTTAATCAGACATACATACTAGTTTTTGTTGGTCTACAACATTAAACACAAATAAAATCCTTCCCTTTGTGTTTTTTTATTTTTTTAAATCCACTGCAATGTAAACATTACTATGGATAAGAAAACAGTCACTGCATAAAGATTGGTCCTTCTACTGCTAAAAGAAACACAACATCACAAACATATTTTGACTTTGTGAAGCCAACTATCATAATTTTAGAAACAATACTCTAATAAATCTGCAGTATATATTCCAGTAAATCCAACAATAAAAGACACAATATACACAATGTGTCTTTTAGAAAAGCAACATATGTGTGTGTGGGAGGAGGTGTAAAGTAAAGAGAAATAAAGATGAAAGGAATGTCTCCAGAGAGTGGTACATTCCAGCTCTCTGTAGGATGCTATGCAGATTAGCTTCTCTTATAGGTGGAAATGGGGTCAAAGGTGATGGCTGCTGTAGTTGGTTATCAGAGCAACAAGGGACCGGAGATGATGTATATTTAAGGAGATCAGAAGATCCACTTTAAGTTAGCTGCTCATTTAAATGTAACAGAAACACATAATGTAACATCTATTGTGTTCATCTAATTTAAGGTAAATAGACGATGAATATCACTTGCTTTCATTACATTAGGGAATCTGATAAAAGGTAGCTCCACTATAAGTCTTGTAATAATATATTTGCTTTCCACATGCACTATAGGAGAGATAAAGGTAATCAGCAGATAAGCAGATAAACAGCTGATATCATCTCCATTGTCACCCTGGCTTTGCTTCCACTTTCAGGCTCAACACAGAAAGAATCTTTGACCAGGTAGAGTACAGTAAGCAGGGTTTATCAAACATAATTTTGTAGTACCTGGAGATTTAAAGTCAGAAATTAAACTTACAGGCAATCTAATTTAATAGTTTATTTGTTTTCTATTCATTTAATTCGCTTAACAGGAACTAGAAGAGCAGAAGGAATAAGTTGGGTTTGTCAAACACTTACCTGGTAAAATCGCCTTTAGCTTCCTGTGGAAGAAAAGCAGAATAAATGAGTAAAAGGTATTAGACTTTATGAGTTATAACTGAGCACTGACCATAAATATTGTGTTTATGTTCTGTTTGTAGAGGCGAAAGAGTAATAAACATTAAATATCCATTCAGAAGGAAACCTTTGAAGTACTGCAGAGCGGATACCTGATACTGAACATCTGCACCTGCACACAGGGGGCAAACGCACTCAAACACACAGAAATATAAACCATTCAGTCCACGCTGTGTAACGCGACCTCATGTAATCACAGTTAATTGAGTGACCTGCTCTGACGGACGACTAGGAGGAGAGGGAAGGATGAAGGTAATGAGAAGTTTTTTATGTTGACGGCAGGAACCTGATGTTATTTTCCCAATCACTACAAAATTTATTTAATAGAAACATATTTACTGCCAGTCATGAATGTTTTATTAGCAGAGAAGTTAATTCATAAAATAATGATGAAGAACTACAATTTCATGAAATATCTAAATAGAACTTTCAAGAGGCAAGAAATGATTAGTGGATTTGAATACCCCCATACAACATGTAATTAAACTGATGGGTAACCTCACATTTATGTTATAAAGCACAAAAAACACTTTCTTACTTGCAGAATATAGGAAGCCAATTCAAAGACCACCTCACTGTCCACTTCTATGAGCTCCTGCAAAAAAAAACATCAATCAGATTAAAACCAGAAGATTTGAATGACACTTGGTTTAGCAGATAGCAACCTGTTAAATAACAAACATGGCCTGTTAAAATCAGTGCATAACTATTTTCTGCACTAGACACATTTCTCACTCATCTAATCTTTTAGGTTTTTAGTAACAAAAACACAATAGAAAATGATCCTCTAATCATGCTACATAGAATGAATACAATTGTAAAAGTGGTAACATTTTTACCACCAACGTGTGAGATACTATCTCCAAACACCAAACTGGACAAAGGGATAAGGGTCAACAGGATGCGAGTAGTAGGTAAGCTATGCTAGGAATCCACTTCTTAATTGGTTAGAAGTTCAGACGGTCTGGGTGAAATACGAGAATGAGAAAACCCACAGTGGGTTTACCACCCAGGATGACCACAAATTACTTTTGTCTTTTCTTCCCCTCCTAACTGTATGTTCCTCTATGGTGAAACAAAATACAGCGCAATGTTCAAAGGACTGAACTAAATTTAAGTCCTACTCTTTGAAATGATTAAAATAATCCCGATTATCTTATACTGAAACTGGAAGAAGTAAAAATTGTTGCTTTAGTCCATTTATTCAGCTTAATCAATGTGGGAGCTGCTGGGCTGTTTCTCAGCTAACTCTTCCTATAATACTTCACATCTACAAACAACAACAGTTTATCTTTTATATATACACACTATTGATTTTAATGCAGAAAATAAAGGATCTCAAGCATTTCTAACTGTTAAAAAACTGGCACATTTTGATCACTTATAATCATTATTGTCATTGCCAATGGTGAATAATCATCAAACCTAATAGTAACTGACATGTAATATTACTCTATCTATTATTAATTTATCTTTTTGAATTAAAAATGAATAGATAATAATATTCTAACTTCTTCAGAGTATGATGACCTCTTGTGGACAAAACACACAACAGCTAAACACAACTGTCAATAAAGTAGTGATGGAGATGTACATACATGGGTGGGCAGTACAGTTTGCACTAATTCCTTGTGTACAAACACATTTTTTCTGCATCTCTCGTACTCTGATATACTCATATATGTATAGTTTCATATATATGTTCAACTGGAATTGCTAAGCCTGAATAAATGTGCCACAGCAGTGCCATATGGCAGTAAATGTGTCAAATAATTCGCTAACTGCTGGAATGTGGAGCAGCACACAGCGTGAAGGCTAACAGCTGATGCAAACTGTTCACATTTTCTGCTTCATAAAATTGTGTGCAGGACAAAGATGCAGGTTTTCCTCATGTGGCCTTTTTTCATGTTCATCTCACTCAAATGGTTTCAAACTATAAACAATCTTTGTTTTGCAACAATAGTCCATGGTAAACATAAAAAACACTAATGGAAAAAATATGTTGAGGTTCCATTTAAGTATTTCAGTTTTTTGTTGTTGTTTTTTTTAGGGTGGAAAAATGGATCAACAAATAACCTCATGGCTTTAAAGAAAATAAAATTAATGTACAAATCGAATTTACTGTTTTTCTCCAATCAAAACAAAGCACATGCATCTTTTTTTTTTCGGAGAAAGAGAAACAATACTCAGTTTCAACATAACCCCCTTTAAAAACTAAAGTACGTTTATTTAGATAGACAACAGTTTTTAACACTTGTTTTTTTCCCATTGGTCTGATGTAATATTCCTATCTTAAATGTGGTTTTATTAGCTGTAAATGGAGAATTGTCAGTACTAATAGGATATTATAGGATCTAAGGATTAAAGCAAATTGATTAATCTGTCAATTATTTTTTCAATAATCGATTAATAATTGGATAGCAAAAGGTTCTTTAATTAATTAATTAAAAGCCCTTTAATTAAATCAAACCAGGTGAAACTTTTCCGCTTGAGACCTTCTGGATAGAAAATATTGACAGACAAAAAAGTTTTTTTGTCTTAAATGCAAAATGTTTTAATATTTTTTTTTACAATTTTGGTATAACTGCTGCTCAAGGGTTGCTCTGTCAGCTAAGAAATGTTTCAGGTTAACAGTTCATGGATTATTCAAAGAGTTAACAATTATGTCAATAATCAATTAATCACGATTAATCGATTAATTGTTTCAGCCCTACATGGTTCATTTAACTAAACTGAGTCACTGAATAAATAAAACTTTTCGAAACTTTTTATGTACTGAAAATGATTGTTAAAGCATATCTACAGCTCCTGCTATATTTGGTGGAATATCAAGTTGAGTATTAAGTTACAGGATAAAAGCATGATGTCTTTAGGTCCTGCCATACTTAGAGCTAGATATGCGACCAGTATCACTCCGTCTATCTACCATGATTTCTATTAATTTCACCAGAAATAGTAGCTACCGTTTATTGGCAGATCATTGCCACTGTAGACATAACTTTAATTCACACTAATCAGCTTTGATGTTTTAAGGATAATGGTGCTTTTAAGCACCTAGTTGTCTTCAAATTACACTTTTTTGCCCCTAAATCTCCTTTTGATGCCAATACAAGAGATTTTAGGAACAACAAGTAAAACCCCAGAGCATAAACATATCATAATTAAAAAGTTGTTGAGGTGAAAATAAGAATTCTTTAAACTACAAACGTACGTAAGAACATCTGTATATTTTCATTAAAAAAAGGAAAAACAACATTTCTTAGCATTTTGGCCAGGCTTGGTTTAAAGACAACAGACCACGATCATTATGAATGTGAAGCTGTTTTATTTCCACAATTTTTTCTCAAGTTAGTACAATTGCCCAATCTTTAACCACTAGTCACTAAGTCTCCAAAATTCTGATGGATATAATGTCAATTTTATATCTGACAAAGTCAAATTAAAACATAAAAAAAAAATAAGAACACTAAGACAAATCTTTTCTTTACTTTTATTTATTTAAATTTAAAGCCTTTTCAAACTACATAATTGTGTAATCAAATTACCTAAATCACTTTTAAACTTCTTTTTGGACAGATAAACACTTCAAAAACACACCTCTGAAATTTCCCTGGCCTCAGTTATGTTAAAAATGTGTGCTTTTTGTTTAAGAGCTAAGTCTGTGCCAGAAAACCAACATAGTGAAAAGTAATTTAGAATAAGAGAAGTGGTCAAATATCAGACTGCAATCATGCCAGAGCCAGGTTGATGGCTACAGAAAGTGTTCTCATCATATTGCTGAACGGCATTCAATGTTTTGTGGATGGATATAATGAACTTGAGAAAATCCATTGAAATCCAGCACAGAATTAATTGTTCTTTAATCATTGCAGTCTGAAAAGTAATTGCTCAAAAACAAAATCTGAAGTGCTGTCCATGACAGTGATGAGCATTTACAAACATTTTAACAGCAAGGTTTGGATACTCCAATAACACATCCACACCTAACTAGATAGCAATGAAAAACAATGAGAAGCTTTTACCTTATAAATGATGGACTTAGCATTGAGAAAGAACAGTTCAATCGTTGCGTTGTCCTTCAGGTAGGAAATGCTTTCAATGTAAAACCTGAAAGCACAACAAACACGAGAAACATGTCGGTTAAGTTGACAAATAAACATCTGGGAGTTTTATCTCACATCAGCTTTGGCTGATGTCTTTCTCTAGTAATAGCGCACAATAATTAAAATGACCAGCGGAGGGCGCACCATACCAAAAACTAGACATGCAAACAATCCTCTCTGTAGTGTAACACAAAATATCCATCCCCCAGTGTTGGCTGGCTGTAATCCACTATTAATCTGTTACTGTCTACACATTCTCCAAACTAAATAAGTAGACACCTGCTCTCACAGACTTTTAATGTTCAGACTCTGTCTACTGCTGTGAAGCATCAGGAAAGATCTGGTACCAAAACACACACAATCTCAGCAACGCTGTTGAGAGAAGCACAGTAACCCACTTCTGACAGAGCGGTGAGCGGGGTACTAACATAATAATGCCGACTAAATTTAGCTCATGAATACATGCAGACCCAGAGGGGAGTAAGAGTGGTGTACTGGGAGCCTGCACATTGGAAGCTACTCGAGTGGAAATCTATCAGAAAGATTGTGAGTGCTACAGATGCTCTCACATGCCCTATCGTACGTCATGTGATGCTTCATCAAAACCCTTATAAGCACAAATGTGTACACCCCAGTAGAAACGTGAAGCAAAAGCATCCATACATGCTGAACTTGCACACGTTTTGTCGCAGTCAAGCTTCAGTGAACTGTACTGAAGCTTCATGTGACAAAAATAAGGTGATTAATGCTGAAGTGAACAAAAATTAGGGTTGATTATTTCAAACAATAACAATTTACATTGAGATAATAGCTGATCAATATCAGTAGAATATATGTCCAATAGAATGTCCAATTATTTCACTGAACTCATATCCAATACAGCATGGCATTCTGCGGCGTAGGAGAGGAAAGGATATAGCTACTCTAACAGTTTGTGGCAGGACTATAAAATAAAGGTTATGTCTAAATAAGGTTCACACTTTTATTTCAAATATAAAATAATAATTATAAATATCAACTGATGTGGGAGGCCTTTATTAGGATGCATTTTTAGCGCTACAATGAAACACGGCTTTTAAATCACTAAATATAGACTTATATATGCCTTTGTGTTCAGCCAAATGTATTTTTATACTCTTGAAGGCACAATCAAATGCTTTAAAATTCACCTAATCAGTAAATATAAATTCTCTGAGTGTAATCTAGTATAGAAACTGCTGTTCCATGAAGGACTGAGTTGTTTGCATCTTTTAGAGAAGAGAAAAACATAAAAAAAAGTAATTTATGGCCATATTGAGAGAAAGTAATAGGAGGTCTTTCATAAAATTGGACATCAAGTATTTAGAGAACCCCTTAAAGGTGACAATCAGAAGCTCAATGATGTTAGTACTTGGTGCTGTGTATAAATGGAGGTGAGATCAGTGTATACAATGAAACGTATGCACATAACTCTGGAAGCACATGTGGATCAGCGGGTTGATGCATTTGGTATGTGTATAGGTATTGAGTGTAAGGGCTTGTACGGGTGATCGATAGTTGAGAATTTGAACAGCTTTACATATTGAGCTGCAAGAAAAAAATGCGAGGAGCTTTGTCAATATTCATTCTGAACATTTAATTAAAGCCACCCTGCAAATGAGACACACACATGTCCACAAACACACACTGTAGGCAAGAACCCTTCCTAAGATGGGTAAAGTCCCACACATTTATAGGGAACCTAAGGAACACTTAAATACCTCATAAATATGCAAAGCATGTATATTTCATGCAAACAGAAGCACACAAACTCAAGTATTGTTCCCATTGGACTATATGGTGAGAAAGATAAGAGATAAAGGCCTGACATTTGGAATGATTGCTTTTAAAGCAAAGTCTGGATTGTGTAGATCTACTCAGTGAATCTATAAAATGTGGCTGGGAAGTATTTGAAAGAGGTTTCACCCAGTGTGACATTTGCAGAGATTGAGGTTAGCGTCTAGTCTGAACTGTGTTAGAGGGAAATGGGGGTTGCAGCATGAAAATGGTGTCAAAGTTCACAATAACCCCCCACCCCCCACCCATTCCAACCCTCAAACACCTATTAGTCTATGTAAATACATAAAGCGAGACCCTCATCCTTCACCCTGCCCAACCCTTTGTCACCACATACAAACTTTGTCATTTAAAACTCTTCTGTGCTTGACATTTGATACAGACCAGGTCTTGAGTAAGACATTAGGTATCGATGAAATCTACATCACTCTTAGCACCTATCGTTCTCTAAATATGAGCATGTGCAGAGAACAGGTCTTTGGTATACAGTCGGTTCTTTGCATCCATCAGGCTACTATCTGTTTTTAGCAAAGACTATGATTTGAACTGCTTTTCTGAAAAAATGTTTTAGAAAAATAAATTATAGTTTGTTCAAGGACAAAATTCCCACTGTAACTGGTAGCAAAAAGTATGCTCCATGCCAGGAAATCTTGAACAACCCATGTCTAAATCCCTTTATTGTCCCATAATGGGGAAATTCACGCTCTGCATTTAACCCATCCCCTTTGGGAGCAGTGGGCTGCCATTGTGTTGCGCCCGGGAAGCAGTGCAGGGTTAAGTGTCTTGCTCAGCAACACAGAGTGCAGGCTGTGGGCATCGAACCGGGTACTTGCAACCTTCTCAGAGCATTAGCGCACTGCTCTCAACCACTAGGCCAACCCTATACGGCCTTAAGTTTGTGGCCCTGAGATAAATTAAGCTTAAAACAAAGGGTGCCATGTTTTGGTAACAAAACACATAATTATGACATGGAGAGAGTGGAAAAGAGGGTGATTTTCCATACGGGAATTGAATAGGTCATGATGACGCCAATAATCGATGGTAAAGTAAACAAAGCATGCATGGCCAACTAAAAAGTGCCTTGTCTCTCAAAATCGGACGTAGATTACACTCGTTGCAATATTATTGACGCGTAGTGCAGGAATTATATCTAATCTGAGGAAGCATCTGGTTAAGCACAACATTTTGTCAAGGCTGAAGAGAGCCTCAGATCTACTGTTTCAACCCCTGTGTTCGTCGTGTTAGCACGAATGCAGCAGCCAAAAGGAGAAATATTTGAGACATTTGATGTAAACAGGGACAACGAAGAAGCATGTGAGGAAGCTGCATTATCATCTTCATCTGCTCCAAGTAAGCAGGCTTAGTGTTCAAGATAATGTTAGCGTGGTAACGAATATTGAGTACTGACACTGATTCCCAGATACTGAGGATCAGTTCAGATGTGAACAGTACCAATCCCTAGGCTTCATCTTAAAAAGGTTGTTCATGCTTAAAAAAATAACAACTTAAATTTCGCCTGAATTAGAATAATTTAGGAAATAAGAGGGGGCTTTAATTCCTCCATAGCGATAAAAACAACAGATTTCCAGTTATTGAAATTACTTTACTTGAGTTCTGGCCTCCAACGTTGAAAGAACAATTTTCACAGCAGTTTTTCCCTCCTCAATTAACAAAATCACTTAAAAGTACCTTTTGCCCTTCACTTTGTCTAATCATTAAATCTCTCTGATGATCTTCTGTACAGAAGTTCTTTCTTTTAAAGAGTACTCTTGCTTCAGCAAGGCATTTTGCATAAGATTTACATGCAAAGCATACTGAGGCAGAGTAAAAGGTTGCTGATTGGCTGAACAACCCTGTGGCAGAAGTTAAGCACTGAGGTCAAAGCTATTTCATAACTTATCTTATTAATCCTTCCCTACTACTCAAAAATCTACTATATGCACAAAAGCACATACATGCTGACACACACAACTTTAGCTTTTCTTCACATGGCTATTAAGGAGATAAATCATGAAAGTATTGAAGTTAAAGTTAAATAGACTTACCTGACACAGAAGTAGAGAACAATAGGACCAGACTTTTTAGGGAATTCATGCTCTAACACCCTTCGGTCCAGCTGAAGCCAGCTAAAATGGCCCCTGTGGAGGATAACAACCAGTAAATACTATTAACTAAAGGTGTTTGGGCAAATAGGACAGATTTATATACATTCATCACATTGCAATTCAATTTAATACTTTAGACTGTGTAATCTGAGAAGAAACATTAAAGAATGGAAATATAAATGACTTTTTTATGAGATGGGGCACCTTCATACACCACAGCGGCAGAGCTACTGACATCAGTTTTCTAAATGAGGTCACAATATCTAACGAGCCATTACTAGTGCTGATTTAAAATTGAAATGATCCACACTCACTACACACAAGGAGGGTGCTACAGTTTTTTTTAATGAATATTTGGACCAGACAGTACTGATCCTTTTTCCAACACAAAGTATTTTGACAATAATAAAAAAAACACAACTGACAAGAGTAACCACACAGAATTTATATACAACAATAAAATTTAAATGTTTTCATCTTAAATCATAACCACTACTGAGTATAAATATGGAAACATTAAAACAATTAAAGCTTTACTAAGTGGAAAAAACAACTCTTCTGGAATGTTCTGACAGAAGAATTAAAGAAATTGCTCAACATAAAAAAATGAAGCCAACGAAACACATCCTGACATGTCTTTAGGTTGATGCTGCAAGCAATTCTTTATAAGAAGATGAAGAGAAATGATGAAGGAAGTTGAAAGGGTAAGACATCCCATCTAACTATTGCATGGCTCTATTTACAGCTGGAGAAAAAAAAACTGCAGCGACAGCTTGTCGCCCTGGTAACCCTGCATGGTCTCCTGTGCAGCATCCCTTTCATACTATCCTCTTTCCCCCCATCCAGCCCCCTACCCTTCTTGACAGCTGAACAGTATACGCTCTCTCTGGACAAAAGTAACAAATGATGCCATTCCTCCAGAGTAAAGTGGACTGCTGTAGTGGGTTGGCATTGCTAACAGTATCTATGACAAATGTAAGGGTGAAGAGGAAAGGTCAGTCTTCCTAGGCAGAATTTGCACTGGAGCAAAGCAGAAAACAAGGTGTGATGTTTGACTGTATGCAAATCAGTTAGATTTTTGCATGACCATCCTGCGATGGTGCTTTGTCTTTCTAGGCCACAAAGCCATAAAATTTGTTTATCTCTTTTGCATTTAAAGCACAGCAGAATCTTGCCTGTCTAAAAGCAGACCAGAAAGAACCACTTTTATTCCATAAGAGAAGAAACATTTCATAATTTGCTAGACTGATTTTTAAAAAATAGATTAAATTGTAATATTTAGTAATATTTCAAATTAAATTGAATCGTTTCACTAAAACAGACCAAGAACAAACCAGCCCAACATTTGAAAGTAATCTAAAACTCTTACTTTATTATTTCGCTAACTGCAACATCTAAGCTAACAACAGGGTCAGTCCAACATGAGCTCAAGCCAACAAAACTCTGACCGTTAAATAGATAGAAAAATATAAGAAGTTGCACAATAGATCAAAATGATCTATATTATACTATGGTGTTATGTTTCTGTTTCATTAAGGTTTATGTTTAAAGCAACGCATTGTTTATTGGGTATTAAAACTAATACGCCTAATTATTTTTTAAACCTACTGTAAGAACATTGATCATAAGCTATCTGCATCAATTCTCATCAGCCCTTTACAACATAATTCAGTAAAATAAAAAAAAATACTTTATCTATCACAAAGGGAAATTAAACATTGCAGTAACTCATAGGTTTTTTTGTTGTTGAAAAATTTTAACTTTTTCACTGGACTTTGCGTCAACCAATCAGAAGAGCCGATTAAGGAGTTTTTTGGGGGAGACAGACACTACATGCAAGCTGTCATCGCTTCTGCAGAGCTGTCTGCATATGAAAAATACATAAAGGGGTTAAACTTCAAAGGTTTAAGAAAAAAAGCCAAGAGAATTTATTATGTACAAGGAAAAGAGAGCGAGCTCTGCTCATTATTGCTGCGCTAAACTCCCCCACAGGCTGGTCAGGGCGGACAGCTTTCTGTGGGGAGTTCCAAGACTGCAGGCCGCTGATATGCTGGAGGTCTGGTGCTCCTAACAAGAACGGTATATTTTAGTAGGATCCTTATCCTGATCAACTGACTGCACAGATGATGTTTTGAGGTGGACTTTCTCACTTAAAAACATGTTAAAGCTATTTTTTAAACTTATCAGAGTAAAAGCTGCTCTCCAGAGAACAGAGCAGATAAACAACGAGAGCGCCGAGCAGCCATAGCTTTGAAGCGTCAAAGAAACTTGAACAGCGTTTGACTCAGCATCCAAATTTCTCCATTTAAGCATTTTTGACGCCCAGATTGCATTGGGTGTGAATGCAACTTTAGCTTCTTGAGGTTTTTTAAGTAATTTTCTCTGACTCCCCAGAAGACGATGGAGGAATAGATCACATTCTACAACAGACTTATAGAAGATATGCAGCATCTTGTTGCAAACAGCGAAGGATCTAACCTCTTAAAGAAGCACAATCTGCTTCTTGTAGACAGCTTCGCCGTTGTGTCTCCAGTCTAAATTGTTGTCCAGGTGAACACCAAGGTATTTATACTCCTCCACCACTTCAACTTCTTCTCACATGATGTAAACTTGTTTCAACTTCTTCCTGCTTCTTCTGAAATCTACGATCATTTCCCTTGTTTCGTTGACATTCTGGATCTTTTGATTGTTTCCACACCATGCCGCAAAGTGGTGCACCAACTCAGCTACTTGTCCATGTTTTATGTTCCCAGTGACTGCAGAGTCATCTGAGTGTTTCTGCAGATGACAGGACTCTGTCTGGTTCTGGAAATCAGTTGTGTATAAAGTGAAAAGGAATGGTGAGAGTACCGTCCCCTGTGGTGCTACTGTGCTGCTGAAGACTTGATCAGACAGTTGACCCTTCAGTCTAACAAACTGGGGTCTGTTTGTCATGCAGCCATTGATCCAGGCAATTGTTGTTGCCTCCACCTGAGTTTTCTGGGGTTTCTCACAAAGACAGTCAGGCTGAATTGTGTAAAATACACTGGAGAAATCAAAGGACAAGGTCCTCACAGTGCTGTCTGCCTTGTCTAAATCACAGTGGGTTTGTTTAAGCCGGTGTAAAATATGTACAATAAAGCATGTATGATGGTAAAGTTTATTAAATTTGCCTTTAAACAGGCTGGAGTGTATATCCTCCAATTGTTAGGTTTCTGTAAAGAACATATTAAAACATTATACCTCACCAAGTTAAATAAATAGTCTGAAAGGATGTGCAAAAAAGTATCCAACCAATACAGAACTTTATCAACAATTCATCAATATTTCTACGATTCTCAAATGTTCTCTCCAGCTTTGGAAAACACATATTTAAGATGTATCCAGATGACATATGAACTCTTTATGCACAAACAGCTTGTTTTTTAATGCAATTTTAGTGTGCCTTACGTTTCATCTGTATAAGCAATTCCAAAGTATTCCTTCTCCTTGAGGTTGAAGTGAGAGGCCACGAGGTCTAGCAAGTCCTTTGCCATCAATTTGGGCTACAGAGAGAAACAAAGAACAAAACATAACTTTGAGTTAGATTGCAGATTAGTTAGATTACAATTAGAACCGTCTACTGATGACTTTCCATAACTTTCCATACAGTATGAGAGTTTTCATTTAGAGTAGGTCAATTTGAAGCCTATTGCTACCATCATATCGGCTACTGATTCAGAAAAATGACAATGCAGTTAAATAAATATAGAGCAAAAACAGCAACTGAGCATGTGTGAAAAGTTTGGTACAGGATAGTGAGAGGGTTGAGCACAGAAAAGATGGATGGAGTTTGTAAATGCTGCTGACAGTGCAGGTACTCTGTCCTTCCCTTGCCCTCCCATTACTTTCCTTCTCTGATCCACACCTCCACTGCAGCGTCATGGTTTACAGCTGAATCACTGTATTGCAGACATGGCTATAGCTAGTACACTAGCTAACCTAATGAATGATGGCTAGATTTTTTTTTTCATAACAGCTATTTATCATTGCAATGAAGGGATCATCTTAAAACCAAGCAGAGGAGAGGTACTAAGGCCATATGCTGATGGTTTGTCACATCCTGAGTAACAGTACGCCCAACCCTGAGGTTAACCATGGGTGTGCCGCACTGCCTACATTCATACACTCATCACACACATAAGGAAGACGTCTTTCTTGGCCACTTGGACAAAACATCAGAACAAGAGGGATATATCCTGCATAGGGATAAATATGCAAAGAAATTCGGATACACATGCCATGCAAAGACATTCGAGTGCAGATGAGCATGGAGTTTCAGTAGACTCATCCAATCCCTTTCCTGCACCACTAGGTTCTGTGTCAGAAGCTACTGAGAGCTATTTAGAGAGAAGGAGGTGATGTCATACAGCCCAAACACACACACACACATCTGCACTGACCTAGATCCAATAAAGGGACGCTGCCTACATTTATTACAGTTATCCTGCTACACATAAAGGCTCTGGAGAGATAAGAATTGAAGGAGAGGTTGGGATAAGATTAAAAGTGGACTCATCTTGCATAACACTTGCATTAAAGGGATTAAAGCTGAACCTACCATAATAAGACGATTCGTATATATCTGGTTATAATCGTGCTGTCACTGAGATGTAATCTATCAGGTAAAAATCTTTTTTTTTTCTTTCCAGAAAGTAACAAATAGTAATGGTCGTTAAAATTGAATGTGTAGTCATTAGCAGTCAGCATCTTGATGGAGGCAGACAGGTTTAAGAGCAATCTGAATTTGGACAATTTGGAGAAATATGATGAGAGATTTCACAAACTAAGCACCTCTCTACTTAAAAAAGCACAAATTAAAGGAATACATTCTGTAACTAATGAGGGTGATTGGAGTGTTTCATTTATTTAATGAATGACAGAAGAGGATATGATGAACGGCTTTAATCATTAGGGAAATTCAAACAATTTCAGAATCTCATAAAGAGACAAATTTATTTACACATAGAAAGCTCAGAAATTACAGATAGTTTATTGTGGACAAAATCCATTCCATCTCCGAGCCTAAAGATTGTGGCTCTTCAAGAGAATAGCACCAAACATAAAGGTCTATGGTGGGAAACTGATGCTAAATTGACTTGGATATGAAAAGTAGTTTGTCTAATATCCCAAGAGAATCTTTGCATAATTCTCTGACAGTTTTCTATTCTAAGATAATTCCTACGTGTTTGCATGCACACACCTTTAACAAGTCCACAGCCTTTTAAAAGAAAGATTTTAAAGCTAACTTGTATATCCAGATTTCAAGCAAAGAAGTAAATAAGCACCTATTTTCTCTGAGTACTGACTGCCGTGTTTAAATCTGACATGTGTGACTCAACATAAATTGGTGCCTTCATTCACATCTTTATTGGCACTATTGTTTCTTCAAATAAAACATCAACAGTGCACTCTTTGAAGGGCTCCACTCATTGCTGGTGTTTATGGTTTAGAAAGAGGCTATCTTTATAGCATTAGCAGTAATACATGTTTTGGTTCAGTCTGGGAGAGACAATGTGGGGGTCTCTCTTTACCAGAGGCTATTTGAACAACCTCAACCCTTTGGTAGCAGATAGAGAGGCAGAGCAACGTAAGTAAACACGCCGATACACCATTAGGAAGCTGATATAGAAACAAAATAAATCCCAGTTGTACGGATAAACATTAGAAGGAAATGATTTTAAGATGAAAAGAAACACCAGCAGCTAGACTCTGAGTTTTGTGGTGCTCTTTGCCTCCATATTGGTATAAACACCAAACAAACTGACTGCCTTTTAGGGAACATAACGACTAAATTGAGTTTCCTCTCAAAGTGAAGATCCCAACCTTTCCACAAGCACGCTCTAAATTCAGTTTGTGACACTGCACATATCAGATCTGTAATAATATTGAGAAAGACACCAACAGTGATACAGGCAGCGGATGACAGGCAATACACACACACACATCCACAGAGAATAGCCTTTTATCAGACAGAGCATCTCCTTGCTGGCTTAGACAGCATTACCTCTAATAGACATTCAGCCTGTGCCTTCTAAGCATCACAGGTAATTAACGTTGTGAGAATTACAGGGCAGTGAGTGTGAGGAGGAGACACACTCAAGATTACCCACAGACATGTACAAACACACTGATGCAGTTTGGTTGCTTTGCTGGCAGCTGCCTGCAGACAGCCACATGTGTCCTTGGTGCCTTCAGGACGGTTCAGATTATGATTCACTAACTGAAATTATCTATCAGAGACATTCCTGGAGTCCCAAACTGTGTTAGAGTAAGGACATCAAGTTATCTAAGGTGTGATAAAGTAATCCCATCAGGTTGAAATTCTTCAGATTTCCCACTACAGACCTTGGTTTTCTGGCACCATAAGAAATGTTGCTGGATGATGAATAGTCTCAGAAATTATTTTCATAAAACAATATTATCCGTTTGAGACCGAAGTGCTCCCACACTGCAGCTTTTATGTTCGACTTGGAAATTAGCATTTCTATGGCTTGCTACTCTTCAGTCATTGGGCTCTCATGCTAAACTCAATACGCTCAAGAAACAATAAGGGGAAGGTGTGTGGAGGTTGATCATGCAGAGTGAAACCATGCTTCATTAGAACGAGAGACACACAAGGTAAACAATCAATCATGCAAACGTAAATTATTGGTATAATTTATATATATTGTATGATTAGTTTATTTGGTATTTATTTTGAGGAGCCTAGGCATTCCAAACATTTACTTTAGTGCATTCTATTGAGATTTTCTTTGATAGGAGAAGACATGGTAGCACATAATTAGGAAGTGGACGGATACTGATGTACTGTATGGTTCAAAAAGTGTGACGAGCATTTAGATTAACCCCACCTAACAATGATCCCTCTAAATAAAATCTGCTGCAACCAACGACATTAAGAAGTGTTCTAATTAGTAATAATGGTTGAAATGTGTGTAATTTAACATAAATTTAACATAAAACTGAAATAATTAATAAGATGAATATTGAAATAATCGTCAAATAATTTAGATAACTGGAGTATAGAGACTTTTAAAGTATGGCTTTAGCAGACAGAGCATCTCACTTAAAGGAGTAATTTTACAATTATTATAAAATAAAAAATACATTTTTGTATTTAAGATAAAAAAAACAACTTTTTCTTCTGTTGATATGCTCTATCTAGAACATCTCAAGTGAAAAAGTTTTAGTTTCATTTGGTTTAGTTCTGTAAAAAAAATCTTCAACAAGGACACTTTTTCTATCGAATTATTAATAGATTAAGTGGAAAAATAATCAACAGATTAATTGATTAGTAAAATCATCTGTTCTGTGAAGGCCTCAGAGTTTGTTTATAAATGTTACTGAAAAAAAGAAGCAATGGAGATCAAGGAACACATCAAGCCAAGTTAGTCTCGCTCCCAAAGCTTCAATAACAGGTGCTTGGTTAAGCCTCCTTTGCATCAGTATCTTACATTACGACTTTAGTCATTTAAAAACACGCAGGATGTCTGACAGGTTATGGCAGGAACTTTGAACATTTTCTATGAACTGCAAAGTAAAAAACTAATCTATTTTTTACTCTAACCCCTAAACCTAAAGAACTACTGTACACATTACCATACACTACTGAAGATACCAGCAATAACCGTGTAGGCCAAAATGTTTTAAAAAATTGTTTTGTGTCACTTGATACAATATCCACAACCTAGCTTTTACACTGTGTGTCAATATACGATGAGCGAGGAACCTCGGCCGAATCAGTATATGACAGACAGTGAGGTTTATAATATAATCTAACTATTGATCTCACATTGGAGAAATTTCCCTCAGCATTTTGACCCATCCTGTTGGGGAGCAGTGGGCTGCCATTGTGTGGCGCCCAGGGATCAGTGCGGGGTTAATGGTCAGGGACCCAGAGTACAGGCTTTGGGGATCAAACTCGGAACTTGCAACCCTCTCAGAGCACAAATGCACTGCTCTAACCACTAGGCCAACACTCCCCTTATGGTTTCAATCCATCAACCTATGGGATATGGGCTCAGCATGCTTCCGCTGCACCACTCTGCTGCCGCCTCTCTTTGACCAGCGGCGTCAGTATTTCATGAGTCGGAAGCGAAAATGTGTTGATCAAGCAGATCAGGGTGAGTTTTAGTGTAATTTAAACATCTCATTGAACCTTGTTCAATCCATCATCTAAACATGGTTCAACTGTAAATCTACCAAGACATGGCTGTCAATCTGAACAAGGAGACCTTTAATCAGAGAAACTGCAGACATCTAAAACTCAAGTGGAAGAATCTGTTCAGAGAAAAACTACTAGTAGTGGACTTCACATATCTGGCCTCTATGGACAGCCATCAAGATTAAAGTTAATGTTTGCCACAAGCCACTTAGGCTGTATTCACACTGCAGGCCTTAATGCTCAAATCCACTTGTTAAGTGAAATTCGATTTATATGTGATCTCCTGTGTGAACTGCATTCATACAACGCAAGTGTTCCGTATACGCAGTAGAGGACGCAATGATGTCACAAGCAAGCAGGCTCTGTGTTTATGGAAGTAAACATGGATGCTAGTGCTGGAGCACATGTAGCGATCTTTCCCAACTTTAAAAAGACAATCTTTTCAAGATGGTTAAAAGAAAACCTGCTCTCCGCATTATCTTCCACCTTGGTTGTTTCTCTTCCTGCTTCTGCGTAGCAAGACGCAGGTCTCATTTGAAAAGATCAGATCCGTATCAGATTCTGGACCACATAGCCAAGTGGCCTGGATGGCATTGGAAAAAATCAGATCTGTGTTGTTTAGACTGCCATAAAAAGATCAGATACAGGTCACATTTGGGCAAAAACGGATTTGGGTCACTTCAGGCTGCAGTGTGAACGTAGCCTTAGAGACACAGTACATATGGAGGAGGGTGCTCTGGTCAGGAGAGACTAAGATTAAACTACCTGGCCTACATGTAAACTGACATGTGAAGCAGAAACCTAAACCTTCACATAAACATGAAGAAATACTACAAAGAGTGGAAGATAATGGAAGCAACATCATGATTCAGGGATGATTTTCTTTAGCAAAGACAAAAAATCGGGTCAGAGCTGAAAGGAAGATGGATGGAGCTAAGTAACATGTTTCCAGGATTAGCGGAGAAGGATATGAATGGTGTACTTGCAGACAAGGATCATGACATTTGGAAAAAAAAAAAAAAAACTGATTTTAATGTTCAAACTTCCATGATGAAAATATCACCTCTAGACTCTGATTAACTGGTTTTTAAGTTAACAGGTTTAGTTTTTTAGCGCTGTATAATGACAATATCAACATCCTAATCTATGCCATTCTATGAAGTCCTGTTCTATGAGAATGAAAATCTGTGGTAGTGGGTATAGTGCAAAGTCAGAGAGAGAGACAGTAAGTGGCAAAGGAGCAGAACAAACTACCAATTTGAAAGAGCAGATCAGTTCTGGCAGAGTAATTGAATCAAAAAGTCAGCAGACCTATTCTCAGCTCTGCCTCCCGTTTTCTCCTCTCCATTCCGATCCTTTAGTTTCATCTCCTTTCACTCCATTCCTCAGTACACCATTTACTTTTTCGGTTCCATTTTTTAAATACATTTCATCCTTCTCTACTGTTCAAGAGCAATTATTCTATTTTTTCTTTCTAGTTTTCTAGCTAATTGCCAGTCTATAGCCAGCAAAGGGATGTAAGGAGTCAAGCTGTAAGCTTGAACTGAATACATTTTCATCTAGGAAGGAAGGAAGGAAGGAAGGAAGGAAGGAAGGAAGGAAGGAAGGAAGGAAGGAAGGAAGGAAGGAAGGAAGGAAGGAAGGAAGGAAGGAAGGAAGGAATATTTAGGTGTAATGCATGGTGAGGAATATTGAGAGTTGACGCATAACCTTAACAGCTTCAAATCAGAGCTGCAAGGTTTGTCTTCAGCGTGGAGCAGAGAGATCAGGTGAGCAGGAAGAAAGTGCAGCGTCACTTACTGCCGAGCACATTTCCCTTGGTCAGCAATAATCAAGCACTTCCAAGACCTGCATCTTAAGAAGAGAAGCAGCATTTACCTGTACAAGGAGCTCCAGCTTCCTGTCATCCAGTAGATGGACCTGACACCGCCTTCCCTCTGTCATCTGAGAAACAGAAAAACACACAAAGGTTACTCTTACTATTGTTGTTTATAAATTAGCTATTTATTTACACTATAAGCAAGTATACTTTTCTGGACAGCAAAAGCTTGATTTCTATGTCAGATTTTAAAGCATTCGGACATTTGACGAAAAAAAAAAAAAAAACACTGCCCAAACTCACTTTTATTACCTGAGTGTGCCACTAACTATAAAATACAATGATAATCTAAACTTCTGACTATGTAATCTGATAAAGGATCCATTTACTTTGGAATCATAACCTACTAAAAATATATATATTTCTTTTTAAACAGTAATGTTTTCATATCTGATATCATTCACTAAATAAAGATTACTAAAGCATTTCTTTAAATATTTAAACTTTTTTGTGTTTTGTTTTTCTTTTTAATTCATTTTCATTATTATTTTCATGAATCAGAATAAATAGTTTTTTTCCCATTTATTGCTCAATTCTCTCATGTTTTACATTATGATCTACCGGTAATAACATATTAGATGACTGAAAATGCGTGTTAGAATGTTACTTTATCTATTAAAGATAGAGGAAGTTTATCTTCAGAAATGATCATCTAATGTTATTTAATGAGTGAACTTTAATAACTGCCTTTATATCTAGACCATACAGGAATTAGTTAGACAAATTTACATTTCCTGCTGCTCTGGGTTTTTTTGATCTGTTCCAGTTTTCACTTATGTTTTGATTTATGTTATTCTGTGTTTGTTGTTAAGATTTATACCACTTTTGAATTAATACTTAGTTTAACTATTCCTTTTTGGGTGCTTTTTATTCAGTTAACTCCTCTTCAGCATTTTTTAGTCTTTGCTCCAGTTTTATTTTGCCATCCATTGTTTACAGTTACGTTTAGGTTATGTTACCCATGGCATCATAGTTATGTTATCACCAGTCCCTTCTCCTATCCTCTAGTTTCTCCTTGGGTCATTCTGTATATTCTAGTCATTAGTTTAATTCCCATTTAGCTTCATTGAAGTTATTTCCTAGTTATATTTAAGCCCTGATGTATTCTCTGCTGCCCCATAGTGCCACTCTCATTTTCCCTAACTCCCTTCTAGCTACTCCTATTCACATCTGCTCCCAATTAGTTGATTACTACAATCATTGTTCTGTTTTTCATATATACGCCTCCTCTGCAGTTTCTTATTGCTGGATTCTCTTCATTCTCTCCTGAAGTTTTGTGTTATCCTCTGTTCTGGTTACTGTGTTCCCAGCTTTTGAAAAAGCTTCCCCGATGGGAAGCGAAGTGTCTTTAAACTTGGAAAACAAAGTCCAGTTGATTATTTTTTAACTTTTTTGTAATGACTATGACCTAGATGATTGAGAATCTTCACCAGCGCTCATTAACTTACTTAATGTAAAAAAAGACATCAACAAGCTCTACATTAGTAAGTAAAGCATGCTGCAGATTTGGCAACTTTTTCTGCCTGTGTGGGATTTCATTGAAGTCTTAATAGGGTTATCTACACACAATGAGCCAAAAGAGACAGTACCCTGCTCTCTGTCCTCCTCAGGCATTTTTAACATTCCTCCTAGAGCAGGAAATCCATTACCCATCAGTACATGAGCAACTACAGTCGCAAAACTGTGCAGTTAAAGAGCGTGCTGCTGACAGAGCTCACAACAGCGTTTGTCTCTGTTGCTGACATCAGGTTTGCTGAGCTGCAGAAACAAGGATTTATCTATATCTGTGTGCGCTTTACTTCACATGTAAACAGTGACGCAGGTGCAAAGGGGACACCACTAACTGTGGTACAGTAAACATTTCAAATATGAGCTACAGCTACCAAAACAAACCTGCCAGAAAGGTTTTCATTATACATGCAAAACAAAGCACAGAGTAAAACATAAAATTGAAGCAGGGTTTCAATCAGCAAATCTGATTTACAATGAAGCAAGACTTAAGAAGCAAAGTGAAGAGTATGTCCATAGCTGCATCCTGCTGGTGTGTGGAGTTTCTCTAAAATTTCACAGGAAGCATGGACCCCAAGGACCACAAACACCCTCCAGTTCCTCCCACACTTCCCTCACATCTGGAAGATGGGGAGGAAGAGTGTTGGTGGACAGTGAATAAGGAAAAAAAAGAAAACAAAAGAAATACTTTAAGTAACTAATGATAAGAACTGATCAACACAACAAATAAACACACAAGTGCAACTGGTTTGTGATTCCTCAAACACCAGCAGACCACCTGGGGCATATGCAATTTAAAAAGGGTGTGTCAAAAACACTTCTACTGTAGGAGTTAAAAACCGCTCTTCTACTTTCTCACAGTTGGTCTAAGCTTGCGTAATAGTTTCAGGCCTGGGAGTAAGATTTAACAAAGAGATGTTGACGAAGGGGGACAAAAAAGGAGAGGGGTGAAGAAATGCCATTTGGATGTCTTATTTCTCATGCCAGTGTGAGCTGTCCTAAATGCTCTGTGCAAGAATACACTCGGTTTACCTTCCCCCCCATACACACACACACACACACACACACACAGATCCCATGTGGTTTGATGGTTTAGATTGGGTGCACCTGTGCACACAGCCTCACACATGTACACTCTCTTTGTTTTTACCCTTTTCCAACCTTTCTGAATCGACATATAATACAGAAAACCTCAGATTGCCAAGCAGATTTATGGTAATCAACCCCAAGGAGCAACCCAATCAGTCTGAAACAAACAAAAAACACTAAAAGCAAACTACTAAAATGTGTAGAGAGTGTTACAAAACTGCAATCCAGACAAACACAGCAGGAAACACACACACTGACTGGCAATCAGCTTCAAGGACCTGGGAAAAGTGCAAACCTTAATGTCAAGGTAACAAATCACTGCCCTGAGGCTTAAATTAGGGACTTCAATCTGTCAGAAACAGACCTCTAATGGGTTTTACTTTAATAACATTCCTGTGGTATTGGGCACATATCCACCACCAAACCAAATGTAATAAAGTATCTATGATTATCTTGTATATAGGCATAATCTAAAAGAATACATATGTCCCACATCTACACTGCAAAAAAATGAAAATTTTCTTAAAATAAGTGAATTTTTTTCTTGAATTTTGAGGAAAGTGAGATACTTTGTCAATGGAACAAGAAAATTTACATTTAAAATAAGAAAAACTAATTGCATTTTCTTATTTCAAGTGCATTGTATCTAAATATGTTATTTTACGAGTAAAACTAATAATTTCGTTGGCAAATCCTCTTAATTTCTTACTCAAATTAATGGTAAAAACACTTAAGATATTTTTGCTTATTTCTAGATGTTTTTTTGCAGTGTATGAAATATTTAACATAATTTGAATTGAAACGTATGATTATAGTCATTTAAATACTAGTAAAGTGTAAATCATTTCCAAAACAATGCAGTGTCACTGTAGAGAAAGCTACATTACCTCATTCTGGTTCGTTTCTCGGTCATTACTTGACTTAAATTAGCTCACATTAAGGCTCAAAAGAGGGTAAAAAAGCATGAAATACTGGTTGAGGTAGACGTGTGGTGAGGTAACACGAAGTGTTTTATAATTTGACTAAAGCTGACACCAATTTAGCATCTATAAACACAAACAGTCAGCCAGAGATGCTGACTATCTGCGACAAAAAGCTTTATTACCACATTACCTTGTTAACAAACGCTCCCTGTGAGGTTCCCAAAAGAGACAATTGGACCAAAACAAAAGAGGAAATATTAGGAATATTAATCCCAGAAAGAAACGAGTCGTGCTCCAGCTGCAAAACCATCGAAAAACATCCGTTTTCCTGACCGGCCTAGAGGAGGAGACAAATCAGCATCCATGTTTGAGCCCATTAGTTAACGTTAAGCTTCACTCTGTGGCTACAGCAGAGCTGCTTCATGCTTCAACTTCTCCATTCCAACTTGGAAATATTTTAACTGGGCGCTAAATGGATGAGGCTGGCTTCTCTCTCATCTCTCCTTCGGAGAACACAGAGCCTCACGCTGCTAGTTCCCTGCCCACCTCCTCTGGTCAGGCAGCCCCCCTCCCCTATTCGTTAACGGCGAATACCGAACAACCAGGAGACCGTACCGACGGTCAGACAGCTGCAGGGGAGGAGGGAGGCACAACCGGGGGGGGAAATGCGAGTTAATTGGCAGCGATGCTTCTCCTTGTCACCGGAGGTTGATTCAAAAACACGGGAATAATGGAGGCAAGATGTGGGGGCGGGGAGAGGAGGAGATGAGGGGGAATTTTCTGCAGCGGCTCCGAGTCCCAGCCATGAGAAACTGCAGACCTTTCTGTAGTCTTTGGGTGTGTGTCTGTGTGTGTTTGGAGAGGTGTGTGCTCACACCCAGACATCTGAGTCTGCAGAGCACCAAGATTGTTTTAAACACCAGAGTTAAATAACAATGAGCTTTGATTCCTTCTATATACTTTATGTCATTGGGAGAGAAAAATAGTATACAATACACTCCATTGATTTCATGTTTACTTTAAACATACTGACTGAAAGTGGCAGGGGCGGTGCTTGGATTAATGTCTCCCTGGTGGAGCCCCATTCTGCACCCTTCTATCAGAATGGGAAAGAATCTTTAATCAATGTCGAATGGCTTAGCCCACATTTGATGAGTACATAGTGTAGGGTGACCCAGACGTCCTCTTTTTCCTGACATATCCTACTTTTCAGACCCCCCAAAAAATGTTTTGGTAGAGTAAAGTGCAGCACATAGTCGATACAGGCAGCCAGCAGGGGATGAAGCGACCGAACCTGACCCGGTGATGGTACCCTGGACACCTGCATCGCCGTGCTTCCCCCCGACTGCCTCACCGGTCCCCAGCCCCCCTCATCATGCGGTTCATGCACCCCCCCGAAAAATAGCGTCCTCCTTTCGAGAAACCCAAATCTGGTTGGTCACCCTACCATAGTGTCTCTTCTCATTCTACATTTGTGATGATTACAAAAATGGAGATGCACATATAACCTGAAACATAATGGTTTGAGCTTTATCTATCCTCGG